CGGATGTGGAGAAATCGTCAAGTAATTTCAATAATTCCAAGATAAATACTCGTGAAGCTTACCCGCCACGATAATCTTCTATGAACAAGTTATTAGACGTTAGATTAAGTAATACGCTTAAATAAATAAAAAGATATGAAAACTTGAAGAATGTCACACGTATCGTCACTTAAAATAAACGTAACAACGTATCCCAACTTGAATCAAATTATCCTATCCTTATCCCGTATCCCTAATAGCGGCAACACCTGGAAGAATAGGCAGGTGCTGCTACGCTGTGCCATCGCCATGAGCTTCTTTAGAAACCCATTCGAAATTCCGATTTTCACGAGCGTGATTTTAATGCGAAAGTAGAAAGAATGAGAACGCAAAATTGTTAAAAGAAAGAATTCGAAATTACGATTTTCTCGACCGTGATTTTAATGCGAAAGTAGAAAGAATGAGAACGCAAAATTGTTAAAAGAAAGAATTCGAAATTACGATTTTCTCGACTGTGATTTTGTGGCGAAAGTAGAAAGAATGAAAACGCAAAATTGTTAAAAGAAAGAATTCGAAATTTCGATTTTCTCGACTGTGATTTTGTGGCGAAAGTAGAAAGAATAAAAACGAAAAAGTGTTAAAAGAAAGAATTCGAAATTTCGATTTTCTCGAGTGTTATTTCAAGGCGAAAGTAGAAAGAATGAAAACGCAAAATTTGTAAGAGAAAGAATTTTATTTTCAGGTATTTTTAAACTCGTTTCGTCAGAGGAATACAATTTTCGGTAAGATGCCCGAGCATATGCAGGATTGTGATCAGGCTTGGGATGTCGTGCAGTGTAGGGGTAGAGTGTGGCGGCAAACGTCTCAACGCATGAGCAAACAACCGCGACTTCTAAGGCCAGGGTTTAAGAGGACCTTTGTTTGCTCAGTAGCAGATTTCAAGAACTGCTCAAAGTTTTAAGAAATATAGGTTATTATATATAACCTATATGTAGGTTACATATAATATAGGTAATATTGATTAAATATAGGTTATTTAAGAAATATAGGATGTGCTAAACCTTCTTTCGTATGCAACCATGGAAGGGATTTAAGAGGACCTTCGTTTACTTAGAAGCAGATTTCAAGCAGGAACAGCATCAAGATCTTAAGAAATAAAGGTTATTATATATAACCTATGTGTAGGTTATGTATAATATAGGTTAAACATAGGTTATTTAAGAAATATATGATGTGTTGATTGCTGAACCTTCTTTCGTATGCAACCAATTTTCAAGGATGGATTATTTTTAGCACGTTTTGATTATTTCACATCTGCAAAAGCACGCCACCGAAACTAATCATTTGATCCTTTCAGCGCTAGATGATTCATGCCTACTTCAACGCACAATTTTGTAGATCTTTTTTTTCATTAATACTAGCCTTTGGGAAACATTTTTGAAAACATAAATGGTCCTACATTCACAACGATAAAAAACGCTTGTTTATACTGCATAATATTTGCAGAAATTCTGCCTTCAAGTTGAATGATGTTGTTTGCTCGTTTCACGTAAATTGAAAAAGAAGAAAAAAAAAGAGTGACTGGGCTCATAAAATTTCCTGTTTTATAGAAAGTGCAATTTAGGGTCGCTTTAAATTAGGCACAAAACTGGTGCTATAAATGGCAGCTTTTAAGCCCTGACAGCGGCCGCTCAGGCAGGCTCGTGGCTAATGAGCGCACGCATTTCTGCCGTCTAACAATTTCTGCTACACCGAAATAGTTCTCTGAATATATATATTTTTTTATTTAATTTTTTTATATTATTCTAGTAGTTTTTATATTATTCTAGTATATATTCTAGTATGAAAAGTTCTAGTCTTTTAATTATCCATACTAGTACTTATTATTTGTTTCCATCACTAAAGTGTATTGTGAATCCTTTCGACAAAACATTATTGTGTTATCTTTAGTTAGGTGATATAAAGGGTGAAAGATTGAATCCAGAGCATCAGAAAGCCATGATGGTTTAATGTTACGTCAGACAGCTGAGTATATAAGATGATTACAGGGAGTCATTGCAATAATATAATGCAGAAACGCATTACAATTCTGTAAGTTAAGAGAAACAGTATAGGCATGCAATTAAAGACACGCATAACAATCGTTTAATTGCTGACGCACATTATGATTTTTCAATTAAGGAGTCGCATTATAATCTTAAATCGCAAAGGTTGGACCGAAATTCTCATGTTGATGATTGAGATAGTAATATGTCCGTAGTTAGAAATTGTAATTGGTCCATGCAAGTCATTTTTGAAGCATTCCAAACGAGCGATTTTTACTTCAAAAATTTTCTAAATTGAATGAACAAAATTTCCGAGAAACAGTCGAGTCGTAATCTGTTTTTGTCTGATATTAATGAAGATTGTTAAGCGATGGCATTGGAATTTGATCAGGTAGTTTCATGCTTATTTAAACTTAAAATTATTCTTCACATTGACTCTTTACTGTCAGTTGATATTGACCACGCTTTCTTGAACGGCACCTTCACAATAAAATGATCTCGATCAATTCTTTATTGTTTTAATTATTTAAATAAAATTTATTTGTATTATCAATGATTTATAAATAAAATTTACTTAAAACTATTATTTATTTTAACTCTAATTACCACTGCAAGCTTTAGCAAGACAGCTTTGTATATACGCTAGCGTGTGGATGTCCATATCACGGTTGTGCTGCCCACGTGTCTGCTGCTCCACCAAATTTAGGTGATGACGTTCTCGTGTTTGGAATTTAAATTCATTAATAACAAATATTAAATAGTAAGTAATATTAAATTACTATTGCTCATCATTTAATAATTAATGAGATAGGCAGATTTATTGAAATTTATTCATGGCGAATGAAGGAACTTTTAATGTAATTGTAAAAACGCGATCATGCAAAGTACTGCGAGGAAAATTCTTATTTTCGCAAAATTTAAATGGAATTTGCATGCTTTTTCGCGGAATAATTTAATTTTTTAAGCGTTTTTACATTCGAAGTATAAAATGTTTCACTTTGTCAACAAAAATGTATCGCACTTTTGGTATAATATCATAATATGTGACGCTAATCAAGTTCTTTGTAGAATTGAACTTTTAATATTTTCCACTCGAGCTCGCGTTTAGTTCAGTTATAAGCTGCTTCTTTTCTTTTTAATTATGATAATGGTGTATAGTTTTAACCTTCAATATTGTGATTCTGTGCTCTCTTACAAAAAATTTGATTATATTTTTCATGAAACGTGGCAGCGTTCCTGTAGAGCCTTCCCCTTATAATCTTACCAGGATTCCAGTTCTTACCTAACCAGCGCCTCTGGAATGGAATGTCCTCAATTTGCTAGCAAGCTTCGCTCGATGCGATAAAAACTGTTTTTTCTGCTCCAAATTCCCAGGTTTTGCCCTGAAACTTCCTGCAATGCCTTAATTTTCTTGAGCAAGAAATGCCACAGGGAAAATTCATCGAATTTCCCAGGCTGTGCTTCGCGATATCGACCAAGTCTGGAAATGATCGCACTTTAGCGGCAAGATCGTTCCGATCGCAGGTTAGTCTAATTAACTCGAGCAGAAAATCCTGTTACTTGGATTTAGAAAGCGGCCAACTACAGTCTTATCTACCTCCGCTATTGGAAATCTTGGCAGAACATTCGGCTCTCGATCATCAGTAAACCATTTATGTTTTCAAAATTTGAAGGCGGTTTCTAGGCTTCACTAAAAACCTAAATCTTTGCTCGTGAGTGCTCTTTAAAAATTATCTTAGACTCCAGTTCCTTTCTCGTCCGAACCAATATTTGCTTAGGACTCTTGATTGAATTTGTCTCTTGAGGGCGAGGTCTTCCGGCCGGAGACCTGAAGTGAAGAAACCTCAAAACCACGGGTCACCTTATTCTGATTATTAGATTTATTCCCTTCTCTCTGTTAATATCTTTGAAAAAGTAGGGGGCTCATAATGTCAAAAATTTAATTGAATTGAATTTCCGCTCCTTGTGAGTGATTATAAACTTTAGATTTTCATTAATTGAGGACTTCCGCCTCTCTGGCGATGTTTCATTTTGACCTTCGGTGCGAAATAGCTTGATAGCTGAAGCGCTAACAAACCATTATACTACTACACTGAATTAATATCGTTGAAAAATTTCGGGGGGGCATTATATCAAAAATAGAATTATGTCGTATAAAGTTTTTTCTGCATGTGCTCTCGTTAGATGTTTCAAGACTCGTGCATTTTTTCGGCTTATATAGTTAGCTAACTACAGAGTTGCTGCGGGCAGTACCTTTACGATAATATCTCGTATCAATAGATACAAGTTACCTGATATGCTTCACATCGAACACATTCACAAACCAGATATAAAAATTGGCCAACGGACGATGACTCTAGTAAGCAGGCCTCAAAGCGCGGTAGCATTCATGACGGTAAATGTTGTTCAACTTGAATGATTAAATTTTTTCTTCTTCCACAGCTAGGAAACAGCGTCAAATTCAATCTACTATTAATAAATCCTTATATATTCCATATAAATTACTCGATGAAACATACACAGAAACAGCATCAGATTCCATTTTCTGTTAAAAAGGAAACTTCTCTTCAATGCACTACATAGACTCGCTTCTTACCCCAAATTACGTCACTTCAATCGTTACCTAATCCATTGTAAACAACGGGATTAATTTTACAGTTTTCACAGTTGTAATCAATCATTACATAAACCTTTGTAAACTACGCGATACTTTTTACACAGTAGTAAAACAGTATAAAATACAATCTCAAGTTAATAATTGTAACTTCCCCCTGTTACAGTTTTCACAGTTGGAAAACAGTATAAAATACCATCTCAAGTTAATAATTGAACTTCCCCTTGTCCCGCCAGTGTATTGCACGGACCCACCTCTCATCGCCAACGCTCGTCACAACGCAGTCGAGACGCTGACGAGGTTTGAGGTGAACCACACGCTGCAGTACGCGTGCGAGCAGGGCTACTACACGCAAGGGTTCCCCTCTGCCAAATGCTTCCTCTACAACGGCACCATGCAGTGGTTTGGGCCTGAGATCCACTGTGAACGTGAGTCTTACTCTGTACATTGATAGAAAATGTTTTATTCTAGTATGGCGCCGAACTTAAACGGCACCATGCAGTGGTTTGTACCTGAGATACACTGTGAACGTGAGTTACTGTGTTACCGTGAGTGAACGTGAGTTATCGTACTCTGTACATTGATAAAAAATGTTTTATTCTAGTATGGCGCCGAACTTAAGTAATGTTTCATGCTGTGCATTGGTAGAAAATTGTTTTTCTAAAAACTTAAAAGCAAAGAAAAGTCCACAAAAATTCATATTATCTTTAAAGAAAACGTTTTCTTCTTTAAAGATACTATGATTTTTGGAGTTTTCCATGCTTTTAAGTTTTTAGTGAATTTGCGATTCAAGCAAACGAGTGACAATATTGTTTTTCTAGTATGGCGCCGAACTGCAGTAATATTGAATTCCTGTAATCGAAAGAAGTTTTTTTTCTGGTATGGCGTTGAAACTTCAGTAATATTTCATGCATATAATCGAAAAGAAATTTTTCCAGTACAGGGTACCGAACTTGAGTGATATTTACTGAAATTATTACAACAAAAATAATTAGTACTGGATCCCGAACTCCAGTTACATTTCATGCCGGTAATCGAAAGAAGCTTTTCTGGTATGGCGCCGGCCGAACTTCAGTAAAATTTTATGCATGTAATTAAACAGAATTTTATTTCCAGTTCTAGGTCCCGAACTTCAGTTATATTTCATGAATTTAATAGAAAAAAATTTCTAGTACTGGGTTCCTAACTTCAGTTATATTTCATGTATGAATCCGAACAAAGTTTGTTTCTAGTAGTGGGTGCAGCGCTGTGAAAGCGACACTAGAACGAGGATTTAACTCATGGTTAAGTCAATTTATTATATATTAATTTATTACATAACCAAGATTGGGTGTTGCTTCTAATGCGTGCTGTAACACAAAAGATTCACGGGGTTTTCTAATACGTGCTGTAACACAAAAGATTCACGGGATTTTCTAATACGTGCTGTAACACAAAAGATTCACGGGGTTTTCTAATACGTGCTGTAACACAAAAGATTCACGGTGTGAAAAAGCGTCAGTATTGAGTTAATTGGAGTTCAGCGATTTAGTCTGACCAATTATTGAAACGAAACTGTCGTGTGCTATCTATATCTTACGTAGAATTTCGACGTCCAACAAATATTTTAAAATCATATTGCCTGGCAAGAGAAGCCAACATTAACTTTTTAACGTGTCTATCTAAGAAGATTAGATATCTGTAACCAACCCTTGAATTAACAACTTACTAAAAATCTGTAGTTGCAATAAATCGCGACACAAAGCACTGATGAAATGCAAGTTCATTTTGGACATGTCTTTCTTAACGTCAAAAATTCGACCATTCCAACTTGCATATCAACGCAAATCTCAAATAAAATGTAATTTCGGCTGACGTCCCCAATCAAGAAGTCAAAAAGCAAGAAATCAGAACTCCTTTCAGAAGTCAGGCTCGAAACAACAGCGCTCGCAGAAAGCTAGACCTTGCGCTCCGAAGTTTCTCTTTTTGAAAAGCGCTGAAAAATATCCTCAAGAAGTTATTTTTTGGTCTCGTGCAAGTTTCCATGGCGGTTTGGGACATCGCGTGGCAATTTCGGACACAAAAGTTACATCAAGACGCAGATGTTTGTTGGTACAAAAACTCCAAACAAATGGCAAGAAATTCAGGAATTGCCGTCCTTATTTCCTCGCTCCTGGACTTGCGCGCAAAAATTCCACGTCAGAAAGCGAGTCGAGAAAGATGCCAATTTTGCATGCGTTCCTCCTTTGTTGCGCGTTGCTTTTTGTGTCGCTTGTTGATAGAGAATTATTGGGCTCTCAGTTGAGCCATTCAATAATTTCTATCGAGCTGTGTATATTTATGCTCACAATTTACCAAGCGTTAAAGCGAGTTTGGAAAAATCTAGGGTTGATTAAGCAGCATGATTAACGAAAACTTCAGTTTTATTTTCAATATCAAAATCGCACAAAAGTAGACTCAAAGTCGTTGTCGATGATTATAAAGGGTTTGACGATGTGCGTTTGAAACTGACGAATATTTTGGTTAAGGTTTTTGTTACACTGAATTTTCTTCTAAAGAAAAATGCCCAGATTACTAGCGATTAGTTACATTATTCGTTGCATGAATTCACATAGATTTCTGAATTTTGTAACAAAAAAAATTGCTTTACTTACTGCATGTGCGAGGGTCTCGTTTCTCGTCAACGTACGTTCGTATGATCATGAATAAGTTTTGTGTTCCTTTCGTACTACATCGGAATAAAATTCGTGCCATTTTGATCGATACAATTGTACTCCACTGCTGATTTGTCGGGAAATATCCCCTTCAAAATTTATATTGATACTTTTTCCTGTACGTTAAAATGATTTTTTGCGTATTATTCTGCGTTTCAAGAACGTGTTCTTGGTGAAGTTTATGTGCGTTATTATTCGTTCTTGCGTTGGTTATTTCCTAGAATTAATTTTATCGTTTACATGATTGAGCGATTTAAGTTCAGTTTGACTTCTTTGTCTTTCTATTTGATAAAAAATTGATCCGTGTATGTTTTTTTTGTTTCGAAATATTATCCTCGTGCGCTGTAATGAAAAATTTATTTTTTTATTAATAACATTTTTCAAATAGCTGTGGTGAAATGTTCTCAAATTTTATAGCAATGAATTCTCGCTTGCGATGTCATGTTTATCTAAATTGTAAAAAACTTGTTCAGTGGGACATCTGCTCTTAGATCTATTGCATTGACTAATGGATTGGCAGCTTGGATCCTTATAAACTCTTTTATGGATTTTTTTTATTGTATCATTTCAAAATCGAAATTATTAAAAAGTAAAAAAATAAGTACTCATTAATATTGCTTCCACAGATTTTTCCCGCAGACTCTTCTTTGTTTCTGTGGTTATTGTCACTTCATAGTAATTGAAGCTTGGAAGATTGTCTGGTTATTCTTCCGCCCGCAAGCTTTTTCTTTCAATAAATCGACATAATCCGCTGTATTTTCAGTAAAAAATTTATAGGAATCATTCGAAGATGATTGGTTTCTACATTTTAGTCTTCGGAGTTTTTAAACCAATTTTCAGTAAAAAATTTTTAGGAATCATTCGAAGATGATTGGTTTCTACATTTTAGTCTTCGGAGTTTTTAAACCAATTTTCAGTAAAAAATTTATATGAATCATTCGAATATAATCGGTTTCAACATTTCAGTCTTCTGAGTTTTTAAATCAAGAAAAATGCTTGCATGATTATACCTCGGAACGTATCAGCTTGTTGGTATATATTTTCTGTTGCTTTTGTTCTCTTTCTGTTCTCTTAGCTTTAGCGTAACGGCGAGACCGTTTGAAGCTCATATCGAGCAGAGGTGACTAGAATAGGTTCTTTTATTTGGTTCGAGTTAAGGTCGATGCCAGTGAATGCTGAACCGCTTTGAAGATCACTGAGCTGAAATACAAAGGATAGATCTTGCCTGCACTCCCTCCGAATTTCGATGATATGGAATGACTTTTGTTGCTGTTTTATTCTGGAATAAACGCTCGAAATGCGTCGTTTCCATCAAGTTAAATTGAAATAGAACGCTTCTAAAACTTTAGGAAATTGTGGAATTATAAGTTGAATAAAAGTGGTTATGAGATTAACAATTGTAAAACAGACATGTCGCAGAAATTCAATATTTATTCTTTTCATTCTGTGCAAAAATGGCCACTCCATAATGGGCTTATACACTTTCAGTTTATTTATGCATTGCCTGCGCCCATACAAAAAGTAATAAGAATTGAAGTAAAATTGAATACGGCGAGCGAATTTTAAAGTATGTATATTAAAACCTTAAATTGCAGTTGTCCTATTCAGTTCTTTCTCGCACACTTAGAATCGCTTCCGTTTTTTACATTATTTTTCATCGCACACTTAGAATAGCTTTCGTTTTCCACCCTATTTTTCAATCCCAAAATGTTTGCTCTTCAACACAAGTCGCTGTGAAATTGTAGATATCCATTATGTACTCACTTGAAATACGACTAACCTAGCCACCCTGGAAATTGCAACAATTGACGATCCCTAACAAAATTCGCGGTATGCTTCAGCCTCCGCCCCAGAGTTGCTATGTTCGCCTAAGAGTTATTCTGGGTCTGGTTGGCCACCTGGTCACAATCAGCGGCTAGTCAGAACCTCCTTGTCGACTTTACAGTCTCCTGAGAGTAGGGCACGAGTTGGCAGTATAAGGACCTAAGAATAAGCGGACATAGAGAAGCTGATTTAGGTTCGGTGCGAGTCCTAGACGGTTCCTAATTCAGGGTCGCCACCAACTCAAAATTTTTATAGGGATGTTGCTAATGTGTTGCGCAGCGAAGTCGTGCGTTGACCATTACAATTATTGACGATGTTGCACATGTGTTGCGCGGTGACCATTACAATTATTGACGATGTTGCTAATGTGTTGCGCGGTGACCATTACAATTATTGACGATGTTGCTAATGTGTTGCGCGGTGACCATTACAATTATTGACGATGTTGCTAATGTGTTGCGCGGTGACCATTACAATTATTGACGATGTTGCTAATGTGTTGCACAGCGAAGTCCTGCGGTGACCCGGGCGAGATCCTGAACGGCTACAAGGACGGCGACTGCTTCAGTTACTCCTGCCGCGTGAACTTCCAGTGCCAGGCAGGCTTTGAACTCGTCGGTCGTAGCGACCACTACTGCCAGCACGACGGCTCCTGGAGCCCCAGAGAACTGCCTTCTTGTACACGTAAGTTCCTTCTAGTTTATTTATGAGTTTGATTTATTTAGGAGTTTATGCAGTGTATTTTAGTTGCTATAGTGGGACATCCTATATATATAGTTGTACACGTGAGTTCATTCTAGTTTATTTATGAGTTTGTGCAGTGTATTTTAGTTGCTGTAATGGGACATACTAGCTGTACGTATATATAGACGTAAGTTCATTCTAGTTTATTTATGAGTTAGTGCAGTGTATTTTAGTTGCTGTAATGTGACATCGTAGCTATACACGTAAGTCTATTCAAGTACATTGCTGAGTAAATTTTTTTAACGTTAGCTGCTTGTAACATGAGTTCCGCACATGTGAGATTAATCTAGTTGATTGTGTATGTAAAGAATGTAAGTTGCTGAAAATTAATGTCCTGTGAAATTAACGTATGGTACAGTTAAAAAAAGAAAGGGACAGCTTGAAAAGTCAAAGTCTTCCGGAACACTTCAATGACAATACAAGCTACCCTCGAGGTGTTCAGGTTTAATGGGTTTTTCACTTTGGCTAAAATGCAGTCACTTTAATCGCCGATTCTCATCGTGGATTTTTGGACACGATGATATTATACTGTGTTCATTCTCAGGTCATTAAACTTTGCTATTCATTCAGATAAATTGTCGCTCACAGGGCGCTTTCGTCGCAGTTTTCGCCACACGTTCCTTTGTACGTTAAGTATCTTAATTTTTGTTGAAATATTTCATCCACCAGATGTTAAATATTCGTTTTGCTATCCGTAGACAAATAATAGTAAATCGATTTTCTGCACTGGCTTTGCGAAAAAATCAGTTCAAATATTCCGTGCTGTACCGATTTTTATGTGAAATGTAATTAATATTCATTAATACATGGACTCGTTTGCGCATAATCTTGCTTGATAACTTCGATCTATCACAAAAATGCTTCTTATTTATTGTGAGATGGAGGCCCTCGAATGCTTTTCTTTCAGGAAGATGTAAATATAATAATAAATATATAGTAAATAAATTTCGCGCTCTTTCCCGTCAAACGTATATTTGCAAAGGGAACGGACCATCTATAGTATGAACTAAATTTTCAATTAACGGGCTGTATTTATTAAAAAAAACATTTCGTACTGCCTCTAAAAATCTTGATTGCACCCATAACATCTAAATAACCTTGATATTTGACCTAAATAACGCTCACATCAAAAGAAACATAAGAGGATAATGTCTGATGTCGTTTTCTAGGCTAATAATCATCGTGAAAATTCTATCGTCTCAGTAACTACTCACGAGGCAGGTAAGTTTTAAACGCCTAATGTACGTTAATTCGACGCCACAACGTCTAATCGACGTTAAATTCAACGTCAAATGACTGTAGGTAATGAACATTGCTTTAATGACGTACATGTATGGTGCAGCGGTGCAGTGCGAAATCCCCGACAACCCTGACAACGGCAAGGCAATATTCATGGCGGTATCGTTGTAAATTCAACGTAAAATGACCCGAGGTAATAAACATTACTATAACTGACTGTAGGTAATAAACATTGCTTTACTGACGTACTTGTGTGGTGCAGCGGTGCAGTGTGACATCCCCGACAACCCCGACAACGGCAAGGCCATATTCATGGCGGTATCTTACAACGCCGTCGTGTCCTACGAGTGCAACTTCGGCTACATGATCGTCGGCTCAGCGACGCGTCGCTGCGACTCCGACAAGAAGTGGACCGGCGAGAAGCCGCAGTGTAAAGGTGCGACTCGTGGAGTTCAAAACAGACTATTAATTTACAAAAAAAAAATTATTATTTGAGTTGCAACAAAGTGCGTATATATATTTAGGAATATATATTATAATATTTCAGTATCTATATTATAATATTATATATATTTAAGTTGCATTGAAGTGCGTATATATATTTAAGAATATATATTATAATATTTAAGTATCTATATTATAATATTATATTTATTTAAATATATATGTTTGATTTGTATTAAATTAAGAATATATATTATGATATTTCGCTATCTATATTATAATATTATATTTATTTAAATATATATGTTTGATTTGTATTAAAGTGCAATGTTAATGAATTGCATTAATATTAATATCATCAAAATTGAATATGTATTCGTGTGCAATATATTCTGTGATAAATGTTGTTTGATATGCTGCCATGATTATCTTTTAAAATATACTTATTAATAAGCTTTCAATCGAACATCTGAGCAAAACGTAACAAGTTTATTAATTGTTCAATTTTCATGAAGCTTTATACTAATAAAAGACAAGCGTGACCTTAATAGTAATCAGAATTCACGATCATTTACAAATGGTCTGATTTCCTTCTTTCCATTTATTATTCACTAAGTTAATAGACTGCATTATTTGCGTGTGGTTTTTTATGCCTAATGTATATATCATCTTTCAGGTTTTGGTCTTGAATGAATTTAATTCGGCAAGTTTTTAAATTTTACCCAATGGAGAATTATTGTCCGTTCTAAATATTTTCAATCGAATTGTTTCTAAAAAATGTAATAAACCAGCATGGACCAATAATCTTACAACCATCATACGCCATGCTCCTCATGAATTGCTGCCTCGTGGGGAACGATGTCATTCCTATGAAACAATTTATTGCGAAAACAAAAGTCGTACCTTGTATCGCGAAGACAAGAGCAGAATATCTGTAGAAGAGAAATTACATAATTAAGATGAAGCTGAATTGTAAACACAAGCGCGGGTACATTGCACAATTACATGGAAGCGCTATGATAATATTGAGCGACTGCATATTTAGTTGTTGAACGCAGTTGCGGCCACTATTACGAGTTTCCAGGCGCGTGCACAAATTAATAAGCTAGGAAATTAAAATTATTACGTGCCAGCACAATCTTTTTCTAACGATAATTCGTATGTTATTGCACAATAAGAAAGTGCACATGAATTACTTTGGAAAGTTCTGAGGCCAAATAAAATGATCCAACCGCCCTTATAATGTGACGAGAATTGTTACACCATAAACATCATCATTACTATTCATATGATAACTAAGAGCACCATTTCCGAACAGCTCACACTCATAATCCCATTATAATCACATTCTGATCATAACAAGCACCAAAATCTTATATCAAAAATCAGAACATCATAATGCCAGCACTACTCAACGCAACAACGTGACAAGTACCGCAATCTCCACCAACTTTATATTACAGACTTAATATCAAAATTACCTGCACAAAACAATTATGGAATATCTTGTTATGTAACAATATAACCAGACATCACGCCACCACTCATACCTCCACGTGTGTCATTCCGACTCTCTGCGCCTGTCAGCGCCGTAATTACGCTGCTAATGCCCTCTACTCCGCTCCTAATTTCCTTCTAAATTAAACTTGAAAAATACGTGCGCTTGGGATTTCTCGATAAAAGAAGAACACTTTTCCTTTTTTCTTGCCTGCTAAATTGCCGGCCAAAATTTCAACTTGCCAACGTCGCAATTGTCGAATTTGCTGAACTGAACTGATGGCACATCTTTAACGAAAAGACTGATTAACTTTGTCGCTGAGAACTTCTCTTATTTGACGTCATTCGAACATTCATGTTCAGTCTTACTGGTTTTGATTCTTTCTTAAATTCTATTTAAAATCTCGTACAAATAATAGCTGCTCAATTTTCACAAAGAATCCTCTCAAAGACAATCTAAACTTGTGATTTACATTAAATAATATAAACAATGGCTTATTAATTGGAAATTTTATAATAATTTTATTTCATGTAATTGAATATTTTTTGACTAATTTCATCCGAAGTAATTAATTTTATTATATCCCAATTTTTTGTGGAAAGATAATTAAATGTTCGTTTTGATTTCCGTAGACCAACATCTGTAAATTGATTCTCTTCATCAGCTATACGAAAGAAAAAATCAAATATTCCATGATGCACCTATTTTGAGATGCAATATATTCAATACTCGTTTACGCTCAATTATTTCTTCTTGATGGTCAAACCTCGAATTCCACCAGAATCGAATAAACGTTTTTTAATAAAAAAAGATAAATTTATCTACAAGAGGCGAAGATGATAAACATAGAATGCAGTATAATCTCATTCCCGTCTCAGTTGTCAATATTTTACTCGAAACATTGTACTCGAAAACCATATCAACAAACCAAGAAAAAAACGCGCGTTCGTACGTTCGTTTAACAAATAATAACGCTTCAGAAACCCCTTTTCTACATCACCTCCTGCCACCTCTAGCAATGTCCCGCATTCCTGCATCTACTGTCACCTCTAGCAATGTCCCTCATTCCTGTACCACCTCTAGCAATTTCCCGCATTCCTACACCTCCTCCTGCCACCTCTAGCAATGTTCCGTATTCCTGTACCACCTCTAGCAATGTCCCGCATTCAACATGAATCACGTACAGTTTAACTAACAATCCACGGTAGAGATCAACTGCGGGTCGCCCGGGGTATTGCACCACGGTTGGGTCGAGGGTGCGGGCACAACACTCAACGCTGTCGTTCATTTCCACTGCGAGGATAACATGAAGTTCGTGGGTACGAGTGACCGCTCAGTGTGCCAGGCAGACGGCTCTTGGTCCCACAAAATACCGCAGTGTTTCGGTACGTCAAGCAGTCATGCTGCTGCTGTACTGGGTCTATACTTTCAAAAGAAGTTAAGATATCGTAAGTTCATCAACCAATCATTGACGGCCTTTCAAGCAAAATCCACCAATCATAGACAAGAAAATAGAGCGTAAGTACTTACGTTCAATTAGCGAATTTTGAAAGTATGGCCCCAGAGTACCTCTTGTCCGCGTACCTTCGGCATCTGGCATTTTGGATTTCCGCTTGGAAATTTCTTGCTCGGAGGATCTCTGCTAATGCTTTGAAACTTTTTTCTTCACGATATATTTTCTGTTTTTACCTTGTTATCAAATATCTTCTAAACATGTCGTGAAAGTCTTTTATCTTCTGCATCCTAATTTTTACAATGGATAATCTAATTAATACATACGTATTTATTCGTGCATCCATTTTTCTTTTTCAATTATTTTTTTTCTGCATTTCCTGCGTTTCCATTGACTCTGCAATTAGCAGTACCATGCATAAGTAAGTTCGGGTTTGCTGGCTTGATTCATTGATGATTTATTCATTTGCTGTTGTAATGATTAGAGAGAAATAATTTAAATGATGTAATTCCTAAAAGTTGACCGACAACATCATTGCTAAAATTTCCCAGTTGGGCATAAACGTTCCAAATATTCGATGCTAGGTTCAGAAGAATTTTTTATCTCAGAAGAATTTTTGATCACAAAAGAATACATGAGAAGGCTCAAATTAAAAAAAGCGAATGAAAAATTGTATTCACTCATAAATGAAATCGCTTTTTAATGGGTAATTACAAATTAGTTAACGATTTTGGTGTGCGACGGAAGCTTTGGCTTCGTTTAGTCGTCAATGTTATAAGTTAAGCGAATTACCGTATGTGAATTAATCACTGTAATACGCCACCGCTGCAATGGACAGAAATTTAACCTGCAATTTTTCGCACCGGTATTTTAGAATTGCAATTGCTATAGGCTTGTCGATTTGATCGACAAAGTAATTGAATTTTTATCACTACATCAAAAATCAAGGCATCCGCTTGAATGCAAATTTCGCGTTTGCATATTGGAACGTTGATGGAATAGTTCAGGTCTTGGCCATTAATAACTTTAAATAATACAAATTCGATTTTTATGCTACCCAACTTCGTCATCGAGCTGAACATTTTTCAATTTACCCGATATAGCTCTGCATAATATTCCTCGTATGAATATGAATCAGCTGGGAAGGTTTGGCTCACGACCTATAGACCTTCCAGTTTTAAGGACGGGCGCTCCTATTTTCAACAGATATGAAAAAAAAATTTACTGAAGAATCTGCATCTTTCACCACGCTTAGTTTTATTTGAATATTTTGCTGCCTATGTTTGAGTCACGTTGTAAATGAGAAATAAATTTTGAGATGAAAATTGAATAATTTTGAATAACAAAAAAAAGGATTAGGTTAATTCATCACTTATTAGGTGAGTTATTTATTTTTAGCTATGAATCATGAATCGAACCTTGTTCGAATGTTAATCATAAATCCTAAAGAGTTATGAGTTAAGTTCCTAAAAAATATCAGGGTTTTAATTTTTTAAAGAGTGGAATTTGAATCTATTTTCAACGAGTTTTTCTACCAGATCGTACCACCTCGCTTATTATCCAACTTCTATTCATTGTGCTTATCCGGATTTTATCCGGCAAATTTTTACTCTATGCATGGTTTTTTATCTATATTTACAGCCATTGTGCATGCATGGATCTCCCTAATCCGACTTCTTTCTTCTTTTAATGAAGTATTTTTCCTTCAATTCACGGAATAAAGTTGGTCGCGTGTTTTATTTCGACGCTGCAGATCACCTGAGCAGTTTAGTGTGAATAATATGGCGGTAAATGGAGGTCATCTGCCAACATTTTAAATGCATAATCTGAGGTTCGAGTCTTCAAGCCGCGGAATGAGAACAGTCGAAATCGCAGCCCTCGATAAGTATTAACAATAAAAACGGGATAAAACTGAAAGCCGTTTCTCAAACTACAAGGCTAAAAAGGTTGATAATCTACCAGAGCATTTGCCTTGTATTATTCCGTTAAGCTTTCGCGCTTCTTGAACATGCGTATCAAGCTCATAAAAGTTCTTTAGCTTCACTGAAAATCTTTTGAGGCTTTTTAATCAGTTCAATGTTATGCACTTTTCAAGCTCGGGGCCTTTGAGCGGCAATCTAACAACTGCGCTGGACAAGGAAAGTTGAAACTTTACGACTCGATATTTTGTTCGTCAGGATCGTATACAGAAAAAAATTGTTAGCAGCAGTATTATATCTTCGCCTAGGAATCATGGTGTGTACATGAACGCATGTCGTTCACTATCACGTTAATGAAGAGGTTATATCGAAGATTGGATCGCCTGTCTTATTGGCTGCGGCAGCCGAAAGTCGCTCCGATTGGCAAAAGACTCCTTCAACCATCTGATACCAAATAAGTTGCATGATGTGTAGTAGACGAAGGAAAACTACCAAAACAGTTTTTCAAAAACTTTCAAAGCAGTTTTTTCAGAATTTTCTCATTCTAACGAACAATAAGCTGAACTATATATACCCATCGCTGCGAAATTCTGTGGATGCTTGTTGAAATTAATTACAGATAACCCAACATTATAGGTGGATACACTCACTTCACGTCGCTGGAGTCATCTCTCAATTAAATCTCGTGTTGATCTTAGAATTCAGTGAGGAGAAATACGGGAATTTAGATGCCACTGTAAAGACAGTGTTTTAACCCTCTGTCTGCCTATGATAATATCGCCAATGATATTCGTACCTAATGGCATGGGAACGAGAAATCCCGTCGGTACACTAAGGGTTAAGAGGTAATTCAGGAGTCAGTAGAAGGGAGTGACAGAGAAAACAGAACTAACTACTGGGAACTGAGGTAACTTAAAAGTGGCCAAAACTTGGGAGATACAGAAGGTAATTGAAGAGACAAACAGGAGTTAAACGCCTATGAAAATAATTACGAAGGCTCACAAGAGGTAAATAACGAAGCACACTAAAGATAATTGAGAAAGCACACAAGAGTTTACTACCCTAACAAAACTCAAGGTATGCTTCAGCCTCCGCCGCAGAGTCGCTATGCTCGCGTTAGAGTTATTTATAAGAAAGATTTCCGGATGTAACTGAAGAGGATCACACTGAATGCGACAACGCACGCAAATAAAGTGTGGACACCCGCTGAAATAAACTGTGGGCACCCGCATGGCACGCTGCACAACGGGTGGCTGGACCCGCAGAATCGCTATGCTCGCATTATATTTATTTATAACAATTATTTCCGGATGTAACTGAGGAGGTTCACACTGAATGCGTCATGCTCACGCAAATAAAGTGTGGGCACCCGCAGAAATTAACTGTGGGCACCCGGGCACGCTGCACAACGGGTGGCTGGAGAACGTAGACAACGGCACCTCCCAGGGTGCGTCGATCATCTTCAGGTGCCAGCCGAGCATGACGATCGTGGGGGCGCAGTCGACGGTGTGTCAGTCGGACGGCAAGTGGAGTAAGCCGATGCCCAAATGTTATGGTAAGTCCTGTGTACTGGGAATAAATGTACAATGAATATTGTATTGTACCTACTGTATAGGTACAATGACCAAACCCAGTCTCCGGCCAATGCTGTGCCAGACCATGTGGAGTAAACCGATGCCCAAGTGTTATGGTGAGTCCTGTGTACTGGGAATAAACGGTATAATGAATATTGTATTGTACCTACTGTGTAGGTACAATAGATTGTATTGTACCTACTGTAAAGGTACAATGACCAAACCCAGTCTCCGGTCCATGCTGTGCCAGACCATGTGGAGTAAGCCGATGCCCAAGTGTTATGGTGAGTCCTGTGTACTCGGAATAAATGATATAATGAATATTGTCTTGTACCTACTGTATAGGTACAATGAATATTGTTTACGTACGATGAATATTGTACGATTAGTGACACACTCTCTTGCCGATAACACGAATAGAGTTGACGTAGCACTGATGAGCCGTCTCACCGGGTCAAACAATTTCAAGATGACCCACATAAGTACTAGAAGTGCGTCGCTATTTGTACCCAAATTACCTCAATTCTCTGAGTGTCGCCACGAGCAGACGACTTATGAGTCAATAAGGTCTTGATGTTCTTAAGTAAATAGTAATTGCTCTGGGTCGCTAAAAATGAGTTTTGAAATAAGTCGGTGGTTCTAAATCTGGCGAATCGACAAAATGTTGGGCAAAACGGTCCGCTTATCTAAGAAACAATTAATGACGACAATAATGTCTCGAGCATTTGATAGATAAATAAATTTGCTGTTCCAGATAATTTAGGACTTGCTTTTTTTCAGTATTGATAATCCGAAATGTGACCAATAATCAAGCCCTCATTTACAGTTTTTTATTAACACCACACATTTTTAAGCTATATCATTTGAAGGCGAGATCGAAATTTCAATTTGTCACCTGCATGTTTATATCAAATTCCATAAATTTTCTCTACTCTTTATAATATCAACTTGCAGCAATAATTTGTTAAGAATGTGCTTTCTAATAGTTCGCATCGCATCTTTGATATCGCGAGGCACGTGTTGTCAAGTTCCTCTGCTTCAAAAAGCTCTTTTTTTATGCGACTTTTTTCGCCTATTGCTCGCATTTATTACTCGAGATTTTGAAATATTTGACTTGAAGTTTTATTTGAATGCAAACTCAAACTTCTTTGAAGTTCATATTAAGACTCGACGATCTTGAGTTTTATCGGACTGAGGCCTTAATATTGCACGCTTTTCAATTCTTGTCATCTTTCCATTATCGAAATTCCTTTGCATTTCGCTAAGATACTTGCATGCATTTATCTTTTCTCATATTGAATATTTGATAATTACATTTAAGTTATTCTGATGCTCATTACAATGTCATGAAAAATATCCAGCGTTATTCAATGTCATCTTGATTGAGTGACTCTTTCAACATAGGACTAATCTAGAATATCTGTTAAATTATGATAACGTATATTTCACAATGTCTTCGGTGCGAATTAATTTTTTTTAATGCTGCCTGTCGGTTTTGCTATAGTAACCTTCTCGTCATATGTAACTAAAATGTTTAATTTCCTAAATATTTTTTCAAGCGATCCTAAATTGACGTGTGAAATATTTACCGGTGACTTTATTCTATGATGAGCACTAGTGAAGAAATGAAATAAAACTTCTACTTGTCAAATACAACGCGGCAAGTTATTTTGGATGATTGATACGTTAATTGATACGTTAGTTTGAGACGTACATGATACGTCAATTAATACGTCAGTACGAGGCGTGAATGATAGTCAATTAATACGTCAGTATAAGGCGTGAATGATACGTCAATTAATACGTCAGTATGACACGTCAATTAATACGTCAGTATGAGGCACGAATGATACGTCAATTAATACGTCAGTATGCGCCGTTAATGATACGTCAATTAATACGTCTGTATGAAGCGTGAATGACACGTCAATTAATACGTCAGTATGAGGCGTTAATGACACGTCAATTGATACGTCAGTATGAGACATTAATGACACGTCAATTAATACGTCAGTATGCGCCGTTAATGATACGTCAATTGATACGTCCAGCGCCGTGTGTTGTGCCCATGATCGACCACGGCACCATGGAGGGCGTGACGCCCCACGAGACCGTGCCCCACGGCTACACCATTAACGTGACCTGCGACCACAACTACGAACTAGCGTTCGGACTGGCGCAGCCGCAGTGCTTCAACGGCACCTGGAGCAAGAGCCCCAAGTGCTCTCCAGGTGAGAGCTGGAGCAAGAGTCCCAAGTGCTCCCCAGGTGAGAGCTGGAGCAAGAGCCCCAAGTGCTCCCCAGGTGAGAGCTGGAGCAAGAGAGCCCCAAGTGCTCTCCAGGTGAGAGTTGGAGCAAGAGCCCCAAGTGCTCTCCAGGTGAGAGCTGGAGCAAGAGCCCCAAGTGCTCCCCAGGTGAGAGCTGGAGCAAGAGAGCCCCAAGTGCTCTCCAGGTGAGAGCTGGAGAAAGAACCCCAAGTGCTGCCCAGTTGAGAGCTGGAGCAAGAACCCCAAGTGCTCCCCAGGTGAGAAAGACCGGAGCAAGAGCCCCAAGTGCTCTCCAGGTGAGAGCGCCTGGAACAAGAGAGCCCCAAGTGCTCTCCAGGTGAGAGCTGGAGAAAGAACCCCAAGTGCTGCCCAGTTGAGAGCTGGAGCAAGAGCCCCAAGTGCTCTCCAGGTGAGAGAGCGTTCAGTAAGAACCCCAAGTGCTCCCCAGGTGAGAGCTGGAGCAAGAGCCCCAAGTGCTCTCCAGGTGAGAGCGCCTGAAGCAAGAACCCCAAGTGCTCTCCAGGTGAGAATATCTGGAGTAAGAACCCCAAGTGCTCCCCAGGTGAGAGCGACTGGAGCAAGAGCCCCAAGTACTCCCCAGGTGAGAGCCCCTGGAGCAGGAACAGTTTGTCGCCGATCGCTCCCTAATTTTTCTAACGAATATAATTCGACTGAATTTCATCCTCAGACTCGCTATTTAATTCTCAATTTGACTGATCTTCCTCCTCTGAATCGCTATTCAATTCTGACCGGAATATTCGTTCTCTGCATCTTCTTGCCGGTAAATGCCATTTAACTGTTATACCATTGCTGTATTACTGCTTCTTCTGATTTGTCATTCTGCAATTCAAGTTTTTTTGCAGAAAGTTTTTCGAACCCAAGTGAATTTTCGATCCCAAGTGAAAGTTTTTCGATCCCTAGTAAACGTTTTTCGATCCCAAGTGAATTTTCGATCCCTAGTAAAAGTTTTTCGAACCAAAGTGAAAGTTTTTCGTCCATTAATCTTTTTTTATATCCCTTTTACTCGTCAGTCTTTTTCTCACGCTTCTACTCCCCATTTCTCCCTCACCTAGAACACATCTCCCCCATTTCACCCCCTCCTCCCTCCCTCCCCCACAGCACGTTGCAAGGAGCTCCCCCTGAGCCCCCGACACGGTATGGTCATCGCCCCCCGGTCCGACCACGGCACTCGTGCCAAGTACCGCTGTCGTGACGGCTTCGAACTCGTGGGCGACCGCACGACAATCTGCCACTACGGCAACTGGTCCGGCGTCATGCCCGTCTGTCAGGAAGGTGACCGGACGTTTAAAAATAAATAAACATTCAAAGTTGAAATAAGGTTGTTTCACGTCCGTTCTAATTTTGGTCAGATTTCGACGTTGATCGGACGTTTAAAAATAAATAAACATTCAAAGTTGAAATAAGGTTCTTTCACGTCCATTCAAATTTTGGTCAGATTTCGACGTTGAGCGGACGTTTAAAAATAAATAAACATTCAAAGTTGAAATAAGGTTGTTTCACGTCCGTTCTTGTTTTGGTCAGATTTCGACGTTGATCGGACGTTTAATTTTGGTTGTTCAACATTTCAACCTGAAATCAACCAATAATCAACGTTTTTTCAACGTCAGATGCTTGGTGGGCAGTCTCGTCTGATTATCGTTTTCATGATTAACAGGAAAGCGTATTGTTCACAATATTTAGGCATAGACCAGTGCTACCGCGGTCGGTAGGCGGTGCACTTGAGGTAGTCGCTATAAGGTCTCGTGCCGTGAAGATCTCCCTAGATTTATCTGTCGGGCCGGGCTAAGTGTGACCGGACTTGTGTAGTGTATATGTAGTGTACTTGGCCTGTATAGTGTATATAGTGTACCGGACCTGTATAGTGTATGTAGTGTACCGGGCCTGTATAGTGTATATAGTGTACTGGACCTATATAGTGTATCGGACCTATATAGTGTGACCGGACCTGTATAGTGTATGTAGTGTACCGGGCCTGTCTGTATAGTGTATATAGTGTACCGGACCTGCATAGTGTATATAGTGAACGGGGCCTGTATAGTGTATGTAGTGTATCGGGCCTGTATAGTGTATATAGTGTACCGGACCTGCATAGTGTATATAGCGTACTGGACCTGTATAGTGTATATAGTGTACTATAAAGTAAACTATTTAGAGTGAACCGTGACGACCGTTATTACTGTTTGTCTCTTGTTAAGTATTGCGTAGCGGCCGTGGTCTGCAATTCTATGGACAATGAAAATGCTCACGTAGACGAGAACCTGATGCGAGTTAATCTAGTCAATTTACTAATTCATCATTTATTCAACTAATTACGCAGGGTGGCCTAGTGGTTACAGTTCAGAGTACCAAGATTGGCTTAGAGAGACGCGGGTTCGATCCCAGCTCTGTGCCCCAGTTTCTGGTCAGAATCGGCAAGGAGGCCGGGCGGTTAAGCAAAGCAGAATTGTAGCAGTGAGTTGCGAGTTCGAGACCGCAAAATGCTGTGAATGTTCTGCGATGTTAAGAATCGGCGACAGGCCTACGGCCTAATAAACGCTGTAACCGCTATTATTAATTACGATTTTCCGCGTATAAATTAGAAGATTTAAAATACGAGAAGCGGACACTTCGTTCGCGTTCGCCCACTGCTTCGCGTTCTCCCGCTGAACCGCGTTAGCTGCATCGCGTTCTCCCGCTGAACCACGTTAACTGCATCACGTTCTCCCGCTGAACCACGTTAGCTGCATCGCGTTCTCCCGCTGAACCACGTTAGCTGCATCGCTTGGATGCTGCCTTGCCCTTAGTGGTGGATGTTGCCTTGCCCTTAGTGGTGGATGCTGCCTTGCCCTTAGTAGTGGATGCTGCCTTGCTCCTAGTGGTGGATGTTACCTTGCCCTTAGGGGTGGATGTTGCAGTGTCCTTAGTGGTGGATGCTGCCTTGCCCTTCGAGGTGGATGTTGCAGTGTCCTTAGTGGTGGATGCTGCCTTGCCCTTAGTGGTGGATGCTGCCTTGCCCTTAGTGGTGGATGCTGCCTTGCCCTTAGTGTTGGATGCTGCAGTGTCCTTAGTGGTGGATGCTGCCTTGCCCTTAGGGGTGGATGCTGCCTTGCCCTTAGTGGTGGATGCTGCCTTGCCCTTTATAGTGGTGGATGTCGGCTTTGATCTCAGTTTTGATACTTTCTGACTCGTCGCATCTAATTGATCTAATATTGTATAATTGATGATAAAACTCCATTCAATAGAGAGAATTAATTAATGTCAAATACGATTTTTAGTTCTTCATTTTCTTTTTTAAAGCATTTCCAAGGTTCTACCCTTATATTATTCCCAAGATAACAGAACGACAATCGAACTTTCGTAGAACCACGAAACGGTTACAAGATATAATTTTATTTTGACAGGCACTACACTTTAGCTTACTCCAAGTTTTCTTATACCAATTCTTAGTTAACATTAGGATTACAAGTTTTCCTGTCCCAGGCTTGCGATCTAATCTCCTAGCGGACGTTCCATCGTCTACGTAGATTTACAACTCTTCATCAGGATCGATTCCTTCTTCGCTCCCTCCCGCCAGACTCACGGCGTATTCTCGGTCAGATTCGACATCAATTCTCGAGCCCCATTTGCCATGCGTCCTCGGTCCAGCATAAGAGACGTGATAACCTCTACGATTTATGCCAGTCGCGTCAGGCCAGAACTTCCTGCCTCATCTCAGAGCTTAAACTGCGACAAGTTTTCTCATATTTTGCCTGCAACGGCGCGGCCGGCAAGCAAAACTCAACATCTCAGCTCCGGATTTCACTTTGCGTCACATCGTTTGCAAGCAAGCTCGCTTTCCAGGAGCTTATGCAATTTTGAACAGATGCTCAAATATTGTTTGGCATCTGCGGCTGATTTGTCATGGTCGGTTAATGGAACTGCATCGCAAAATAATAAATTGTTATCATTGATAACCAGATGCAAAAATATTTGTCATTGGTCGGTTAATGAAAACGCATCTCAAAATGAAAAATCGTTATATCGGTAAACCATATTCGCACAAACGTATGCAAAACTAACCCACATACGTATGTCAAATGAAGGACATGTATACGGTCGACATTGCCATGTCAAGCGAAATTAATGGAAATACTTTCCATTTTATTTAGCCTAGCGCTGACTCTTACTGCTCCGACTTTTCCCTCCTTCGGTACAAGAGCTTCTTCACAAACAATTCTATTATTCGCTCCATGAATTTCCGATGAGATGGACAAAGAAGACGTTCCATCGCCATGAAATGCTCTTGAAGCCGTGAGGAGCAGCCATGCAGTTATTTGGAAGTGTTTCACTTCGGCATTTGTAAGCCAAGAAAGTCCGGTGACCTTAAATTGCAGGCAATCTAGGCAGCAGAAATCGCGTGTATTCTTAGATTGCATGCATTAAGTTTCCGGCAATCTCCCAATTCCTGTTATCTGGAATAAGTTCCCATTCCTGTTATTTGGAATAAGTTCCCATTCCTGTTATCTGGAATAAGTTCCCACTCCTCATATCTGGAATAAGTTCCCAATTCTGTTATCTGGAATAAGTTCCCACTCCTATTATCTGGAATAAGTTCCCATTCCTGTTATTTGGAATTTTTTTTAATTTATTCAATGTATAAAATGTTTATGCTAGATGACCATGAAGTTATCACGAAATCAAATTAAAATTCAAGCAAGATCCGAATGCCGTGATATATTTTCATTGATGTTCCGACAACCTTCCTTCACACTGATCGAAACCATAGACTTTATCTTAATTCATCATACGAATCTTCTTTTGTGATTGGATTTGTTCATAACATGAAATGACCTATAATACCAGCAATAAAATTTTACTGAATTTTTACGTAGTAAAAAACTTGAATTGGTTCCGTTTGGCATATATTTTATGCATGCCTGACAAATTCCTCTGATAAATTCCTCTGAGGAATTTTTAGCATTGATCAAATTGATCAAAATCACAAATTCCTTTTAGCATTGATCGTTCGATAGCTCGAGTGATTGCCGGCGATTGTTCAGCAGCGAATAACATAGTATTTACCAGCTGCAACGTCGTTCGGCTGCAGCGTCGACAAATACGCGAGTCTGTTTTCTGCACTTGATTCAGTTTTGGTGATAACAAAGTTTGCTGCTATATACGAATAAAGTGGCTTGCGTTATGTGTTGGTGATTACCACTGAGTTTGCTGCAGAGAATTGGAGGTCTTGCGTTATGTGTTGGTGATTACCACTGAGTTTGCTGCAGAGAATTAGAGGGCTTGCGTTTTCGTTTTGAGTTCGTGATTACCACTGAGTTTGCTGCAGAGAATTAGAGGTTGGTGATTACCACTGAGTTTGCTGCAGAGAATTAGAGGGCTTGCGTTTTGTGTTGGTGATTACCACTGAGTTTGCTGCAGAGAATTAGAGGGCTTACGTTCGATTTTCTGAAAGTTTCAGTAGTCGTCGAGCACGACGTTGAGATCCTGATTAATTACAATATTTACGGAAACATCTTCAATAAATCTCGAATTTCTAATGCGCAGTCAATATTCAGTCAAGACTAATATTTTATCTATTAACTTCACCAAATAATGTCTGGTAATTCAAATTATAACGTACACGAGCGCAGCCTCTAGGATTGAGCTCTATTTATGCGCGAAGTGAGCTAACGATATGCTGGGATATCTAACAAGGAAATATATTGTTAAAGCGAGCGCAAAATCTTGCTGAATATCTTGTACATAAATAATATTTTATTGGACTTTTTGATCCTTGTAGCGTTGTGAATTTCGTTCATTATTTGTTTCATGTTTCCCATTGAAATACACAATTCTGTAATGCAATTTTCGCTCTCGTTTAAATATATAGTTTTGCCCCTTCGTTGCGTACATATTTATTTTCCAATCAATATGCTAAGCTGAAGGTATCACATGCTAAACTAGAATAATTAACTATTATTTGTCGAGTAAATGTAACTATTTTCGTTTTTAATTCAAATTTTGAACAAATTTGAATATTTGTCTTCAGTTTCATATTGAATATCCTCCCTGTGTACGCATTTTTGTATACAGGGAGGATAAATAAATGTATATATAAATTGTGCGTATACAGGGTATACGCACAGGATAAATTGTGTATATATGCGTATACCCTGTATACACATTTGTATTTCCCAGTGTACTGCCCCTTCCCGGGATACGTGGAGAACGGCCGTGTGTTGCTGGTGGGCAACATGGGCATGTACGACTACAGAGCTTATGTTAAAAAGGTAATACATTTCGCTGTTACTACCAAACAAACGTTCCAAATTTACTTCACAGTGCATCTATGACCACACAATTCACATTTAAAAACAACTTTACATGAACTGTAAACTTTGTTAAGACCTCGTTAAATTAACCACCGATCTTGTGCCAAAGATGCGCTATAATCTCGAGAGTATGGCAATTTTGGCGCCTATTTGAAATATTCGATGTTTTTTTGAACGTTCAAGTGGTGGACCTCCAGATATATTTTTTTTTCTCTAAGATCCTGCGGCTAAAATTATAATTTTCTTTAAAATTGTAATTTTGTAAATGTTTAAAACTATTCAAAACTAGAGTGTAAGCGCATGTTCTACGCAGGTGCGCAACAACCGCCAAATCAGATACGCCTGCGACAAAGGCTTCTACCTGCGCGATGGCCCGCCTGGGGCTACCTGCGTCGCTGGCAGATGGAGTCCCGCCAAGCTGCCGAGGTGAGAATATTGTGTCCGCCGACTGTACCCTGCCAAGCTGCCGAGGTGAGAATATTGTGTCCGCCGACTGTACCCTGCCAAGCTGCCGAGGTGAGAATATTGTGTCCGCCGACTGTACCCCGCGCTCTGTAGTGTGGACTCGGTAAGTACTGCATTAGTAGGCGTAGGATTAATTAAGTTTGGACCTGTACGCACTATAAAGAATTTTATTTACAACGAGAAATTATGCATAATAAATAATAACAATTTTTAACGTCTCTTGTGAATTATCTACTAAATTCAACAATATTGCGCCGAAGGAAGCCTAATATTCCATCGGTGACTCTTGTTAATAATTTTTCAGATATATCTTGGTTACAGTCATTTATGGTCACTGGCATTTCCGTTAAATAGACAACTGAATTATGTTTATTACGTTGATGACGTCAGAGGCCTCAGAGCTTTAGCAAGGTTGCAGTAATTTTAATGGATGCTCTGAATAGAGTGCTTGTTATTGTCTGAGGATTTGCAAATCCCCTAAGTGAATTGAAATGTTCGTAAATCCTACAGGTGTGTCCCGGATTTGCATCCCCGGATTAAATGGAATCGACGCAAAAAACGAAGCTTGCAAGAAAAAATCGACGGCACGAACGCCGCTTTTATTCTCCGTGCGAATAATCGGTCGAGAAATTCTGGCAACTTTTCTATTGAAATCTCGTCCTCTGAGTCACAAAATTCACGTGAAATTAGCAGCGTTAAGGCCGAAGGTTATGGAGTCGATTCTAAACTAAGAAATGCGAATTCCGAAGTGAGAAAAATGATGGAAAATGCTGACGAGAGAAATTTTAATAGTAGTAGAAGCTTTCGAAATGAAGAAAAGCCATCGTTGGACCCAAAAATCAGCCCTCTTTTCAGCTCCAAAATCAGCAATTTAACTGCGATATTGAGCGATGACTCATCACAAGAAATTTACGATATCCCTGAGATTAAAACTGTCAAGGCCACTAACAGCTATAACCTAAATGTCAATAATGAAGATAATTCAAATGGAAATGATCTTGAGATCGAGAAGTCAACGATGAAATCAGCAAACAACGAAGGTGAAGACATAGAGGAGGTCAAAGACGATGATGTTTATAAAAGAACGGCTATTGACTCAAACTCTGAACACTCGCAAGAGGTTATTGAGCCCTCACAAAAAAACATTGAGCCCTCACAAAAAAACCGTGAGCTCTCACTAGGGGTCCGTGAGCCCTCACAAGGGGTCCTTGAGCCCTCACTAAAGGTCCTTGAGCCCTCACAAGAGGTCCTTGAGCCCTCACAAGAGGTCATTGAGCCCTCACAAAAGGTCCTTGAGCCCTTACTACAGGTCCTTAAGCCCTCACAAGAGGTCCTTGAGCCCTCACAAAAGGTCCTTGAGCCCTCACAAGAGGTCCTTCAGCCCTCAAAAGAGGTCCTTGAGCCCTCACAAGAGGTCCTTAAGCCCTCACTAAAGGTCCTTGAGCCCTCACAAGAGGTCCATGAGCCCTCACATGGGGTCCTTGAGCCCTCACAAGAGGTCCTTGAGCCCTCACTAAAGGTCCTTGAGCCCTCGAAGAAAGGGTTCGTAGATGCCTTGAGTATGGAGCAGAGTATGCGTGGTCCTTATGCTGATTATTATCGTCTCCTGAGAACAGACGACAATCACAATGATGGCGGTGCTGCTACATACTGGGGACTGGGAACATTTAATGCATTTTTCTCAAATGCCAACCGCTACCCTAGTCCATCTGAACCTAATGACGTTTCATATTATTCAGATTTCAGTAAGGATTTCAAGTCCAAATGGAGTTCTGAGTCTCCTACAGACTTAAGGACGGTAGAACGAAGAAAATCTTCTAAATTTGACCTCTCGCCCGTTGCGCTGAAGCCAAGTAGCGCCGCTAAGCAGAATGTTATCCCCAATCTGGACGTTCAATTTCAACATTCCCATCGAAATGAGAAGGTAAACATAAAAAGATTTTCCACTGAAAATAACGTCGACAGATACCATGAAGATCAGTTGGAGATTCATCGTTTACCAAAAAATAAGCTCCGTTCGATTAATGACTCCGGCGATGGGGACGTTCAAAGTGATTCTCAGAAGCCCCACAGACTGAGGAGAGAAAGCGATGCCGACGAGCTCCCCAAGCGGCGAGAGCACCGACGTAATTCTAACAGGAAGAGGAATGGGCGTAAGAAGAAAGGAGTGAAGGGAGTCAAAGGAATATTTGGTGAGTATACTTAAAACTACATTTAACTAATGCATTCGGTTATTAATTTTTATTGAGATAGGAAAGTGTAAAAATTAGACACAAAGCGATAAAGTAATATTTTTACTGATCATTATACGCACGTTATTGTCACTGCTTGCGATGTGAATTTTCTCTTAAATTTGAACATAAGCTCGGGTAAGATTGGCCCTTAGTTTTAACATTGGCCCAAAGTTAAAAAAAATGTCAAGTTGAGCTGTAGCTGTACAACTAAACTTGCCTGTTCACAATAAGGCCATCAATTTCCAACGAGCATCAATTCAATTGAACCCAACTTCGACTATCTCTTGCCTGTAGATACTGACAGATTCTAGCAACCCTCCACAGCCTGAGCCCAACTAAAAGGGATCGTTCAACCCTACACGAGGGTGTAACCTCTTTATTAAATATGTTTCTATTAGTTATATGTTTCCATGTGTAATATGTTTCCATGTGTTATATGTTTCTATTAGTTATCTGTTTCTATTAGTTATCTGTTTCTATTAGTTATATGTTTCTATTAAAATTATGTTTCAAATGTGTTGTACTGGCGGCACAACGAGAATCTGATGTAAGCAATCTATGATAGTGAGTCGAAACTAACAAATTGTTGAGGTATGCAGTGGCTCTTAAAAAATGTAAATATCGAAAAAAAATTTAGGCAAGAGTTCAAAATTTGTCGCTCAAGTGGATGTGATGGAACTGTTGAAGTTCCCAGACGGGAGGCAAGACGCGCAGTATAAACTACCATCACTGAGTCTCAATTCAAGAACATTTTGGAAATAAATATTTATGAATTAATTCTATTTTTATGAATAAATAACAAACAACGTATGAATCAAAGTTTTCCTAACCGCTATTTCACATCAAGCTTCTCTGGTAATTTCGTTCTTGCCATCTCGCTACCAGAATCATCGCCGTCTTATCTTTAGATAACCTCGAGTATATTGAGGAGATGGCCTGCAAAACAACCTGTCTGTTTAGATGGTTTTTTTAGGTTTTATCTATTAATAGATAAATTATTTGATAGATAGATTTTTTATTTATTTTTAGTTGCTCGTCATTTTATGAGGCGATCGTTGTCTCGATGGTCCCGTAATAATGATCCCGATGATTGTCTCGATTTTCCCGTAATGATCCTCTCGATGATTGTCTCGCTGGTACCGTAACGATGATCCCAATGATTGTTTCGATGGTCCCGTAATAGTCCTCTCGATGATTGTCTCGATTGTCCCGCAATGATCCTTCCGATGATTGTCTCGATGGTCCCGTAATGATCCTCCCAATGATTGTCTCGATTTTCCCGTAATGATCCTCTCGATGACTGTCTCAATTGTCCCGTAATGATCCAGTCGATGATTGTCTCGATGGTCCCGTAATAGTCCTCTTGATGATTGTCTCGATAGTCCCGTAATGATCCAGTCGATGATTGTCTTGATTGTCCCGTAATGATCCAGTCGATGATTGTCTCGATGGTCCCGTAATGATCCAGTCGATGATTGTCTNTTTAATCCATTAATGTCTACCCCTGTCTCTTATACACATCTAGATGTGTATAAGAGACAGCCCAATGATTGTCTCGATTGTCCGTAATGATCCTCCCGATGATTGTCTCGATTGTCCGTAATGATCCTCCCGATGGTTGTCTCGATTGTCCCGTAATGATCCTCCCGATGATTGTCTCGATTGTCCGTAATGATCCTACCAATGATTATCTCGATTGTCCCGTAATGATCCTCTCGATTGTCCCGTAATGATCCTCTCGATGATTGTCTCGATTTTCCCGTAATGATTGTCTCGATTGTCCGTAATGATCCTCTCGATGATTGTCTCGATTGTCTCGTAATGATCCTCTCGATGATTGTCTCGCTGGTCCCGTAACGATGATCCAGACGATTGTCACGATTGTCCCGTAACGATGATCCATATGATTGTCGCACTGTCATCTCACACCAGTTCTAACGTTCATGCAGAACGCTGCGAGCCGTTGCCGACAGAACCTTACATGAGGGCCGAGGTTCTGAAGCCTGGACGTGATGAGAACTACACGTACTCTACGGGCGCACGGGTCAAGATAAGTTGTCTGCACGGGCACGGGCTCAACATCAACAAGACGGGCGTGGCCAAGTGTCGCCGCGGCCACTGGAAGCCCATGAAGCCCGTCTGTGAGCCGCGTGAGTCAGGCTTTAGTTGCTTGCGCATTTTATTTGTTAATAATGAATGGCAAGAAATCGACACGCTTGACGGCTCGTGTTATTGTTGATCCATTATTGAATAATGAACATTTCCCTTCAATACATCACATTTCCTCCCCTCGCACCACAGTGTAGTGTCGCGTCGTAGAAGAACCACTAAGCACTTCCCTTAGCACCACAGTGCATTATAACGAACATTTCCCTTCCATACATCACATCTCCTCACTCCCCTTGCACCACAGTGCATTATAACAAACCTTTCCCTCCAATACATCACATCTCTTCCCTCCCCTCGCACCACAGTGTAGTGTCGCGTCGTAGAAGAACCACTAAGCACTTCCCTTAGCACCACAGTGCATTATAACGAACATTTCCTTGCAATACATCACATATCCTCACCTTGCACCACAGTGCAGTGCCGCGTCGTAGAAGCACCACTAAGCAAGTTCGAGTACAACAGCGAAGTGGTGCTCCCTGATACGGCCATCAGCCACGGCCAAGTGGTGCGCTTCAGATGCGTGTCCGGCTACTCGGTCCTCGGCTCGGACAACATGCGATGCTGGTTCGGCGAGTGGTCCGTTACTGGCAAGAACCCGGAGTGTCAGCCCAGTGAGTGGCATGTGTTATTGGCATTATTTAGCTGTGTATTAAAAGAGTGCGCTGCTGGTTCGGCGAGTGGTCCGTTACTGGCAAGAACCCCGAGTGTCAACCCAGTGAGTGGCATGAGTTAGTGATATTATTTGGCAGTGCATTAAACAGAGTTCGGCGAGTGGTCCATTACTGGCAAGAACCCGGAGTGTCAACCTATTGAGTGGCATGTGTTATTGATATTATTTAGCCTTGCATTAAATAAAGTGAGTTGCTGGTTTGATTAATGCTGGGTACATTTTATTCTCTCTTCCCTTCAATTTTCATTAATTATTTGCGCGTATTACACGAACTTAACTAAACTCCAACCGCTCCTATCTTCTATTTTCTTAAAGTAAAATTCGTTATACAGAAATAAATTTGGGCATATTAAACACTATTCTCAAAATTTCGGTTTTCTTCTATTTTTCAATATGATTACATTTGTCCAGACCCCTGCCAGTTACCGGAGATCGAGCACGGCAGCTACAAGAACGGCTACAAGAAAGGCCTGATGATCACGCACGATTCTTCCGTTGAGTACGCTTGTGATCCTGGCTACGAAAAAGTCGATGATGTCAACGAAATCAGCTGCCACTTGGGGGAGATTGAGCCCTCAAAACCCACATGTGGACTTGCCCCCACGTCCACATCCTCCACGACCACGAAGGTCGTGACCACACACCCCACGACGACAGCGCCACGACCTGTGGACTCTTCAGTGATCGCAGGCAACCGCAAGGGCGGCGAGAACAACAGACCCTTCAGCAGCGACGACGCTAAAGTGCAAGGTGAGAAACTCTTGCCGTGACAGCGTTGTGTGGTGAAAGATTTTCCTTGTGTTAATGCTAAGTAAATATAGAACATAGAAATTTTTTTTTGATATCATTATTTAAATTGTTATTTATATCTCATGATTTCATTTCTTATAAAATTCTCTGGTTAGGACGTGTTTTCCTGTAATTGGAAGTTGTCTGAATAACCCGACAATGTTCTGACGGCTGCACAGAGCTAAACTTTACCTTTCAATTTTAATCAGATAAGTAATTAAGATGTTAGATTTCCATCCACAAATTAAACAACATGTGTACGCCTACGTGAATTTTACATTCATTCACCGCTTATTTGATTCATCATGGTGCCATTCACTAAATGGCGATTGCATTGAGATTTCTATTGGTCACTCATGAGGTCTACCATTCTGTGTTGAAGTTGAATGATTCAACGAATAAAACAGAAAAATAACAATGAATAATTCTTTCTTCGATTCTAATTCAATGAATAACAGGGTAATAGCCGGAAGGTGAGGAAAGTCAGAACATAATTTCTCTGAAGAGTTTTTCAGCTATCAAAGTCATGCTTTGGAAGTATTAAATGGAAGAATTTTAATATTTTATGGAAAATTATAAGTATCGGCAAGTGCTATTAACATTTCTCCCGTCATAATTTAAAATGAGAACGAAAACTGCTTCAATGAATTTCAAGCGGAGTTCGTTTCGTTCCACATTTCAGAACTTGAAATATTGGCGCGTTGTTATACAAATTAATTTCAAATTAATTTGTCTAACAATCATTCAAAGTAACGTGTAACTATACACTGTTAGAAAAATGACCGTTAACGGTATTACCGGCGTTTCAGTGGCCGGTCGACACGTGAAAAGAAACACCGTGTCGCCGTTTTTATTCCAATTTAACACCAGAAATCCGTAAAACATCTGATACATGCTATATTTTAACTCGTCCACAATAGCTGATAACTTTTTGCTCGTACTCTTTGATCCGATAATTAGAAACTCTCTTTAGATATTCTCTTATTTCTTGTTATTTTAAGATGAATGAGAGAGCGATTTCCATCCCTCAGTGCAGAAGTAATATGATATTGGTTCTGGATATTGTGTAGCTGTTTGTGCTGGCAGTTCTTAGTTCAAGTGATTATTTCCACGTTATCTTCTACATCAACAATTTTAATTGTTGCATCTAATATTGCTATAGCATCATATTACGTAGAAAAAAAGGTTTATTAGTCTTTTGATATACTTGTGCTCTGTTATTGGTGTGAATCTTTTACTAATACTTATACTAGATTATAATTTTTAAATACAAAGATTCAATTATTAATTTAAAAAATACAATTGTAATAAACTTCCTAATTGTTATTGTCAGGATTTCGACTATACGATATCTAAGCACAACATTTATTTGATTTTGTAACTATTTTCGATCATTTCTAATCGCTAAAGTTCATCTGATTATTATTAACATCTATCATTCGTGTTCCATATATTTCATCAATATCTGTTATTTAAGAAAAAGCTCTGTTTAACGTGAACAAATTGTCATGATCACCGATTGTTGGTGTAGTTTGGCAGAAGATGTTCTTTAATCCATTAATGTCTACCCATTGCCAATGAATTAAGGCAGAAGATGTTCTTTAATCCATTAATGTCTACCCATTGCCAATGAATTAAGGCTGAAGATGTTCTTTAATCCATTAATGTCTACCCATTGCAGAGATGCAACAGGATGGTGAGGCTATTTATATGCTTCGGCAATTTAATGTTGCGCCAATTGCTTGCAGTGATCGCTGCTTCGTTGTTTGCTGCCGCAAAAATTCTTGTGCTTTGCTCTGTTGATAATAGAAATACTTTTTAGGTTTTAGCCTCCTGAAAGTTTTTTGCTTCTAGTCATAATAAAATCTTGAGCCTAGAGCATTAATTGTTGCGGCTGTAAACTGCAGCTTCCGCGGAGACTTGAACGCCGCCTCTATACCCGCTTAAGAACTGGTGGACATTTTCCTTAACGCTTCACCGCCATCATCTCATCATTCTTGGTAGATTGCCAGTATTATGTCATAAGGAATGCGTCGGCGTTTGCTTAGACGTTAAATTTCTACTTGCATTCAAGGCTGGTGATTAAAATATTAGACGGGCGGAAGCATCGCCTATTTATAAGGCGGGCGGAAGCATCGTCTATATAAGGCGGGCGGAAGCATCGCCTATATAAGGCGGGCGGAAGCATCGCCTATATAAGGCGGTGAGGGGCTAAACGCTAAAGCTTACGCGCTACGCTCATGCCAGATATCCGGACTCTCAAAACTTGTTTCAATGATCATTAGTGACTCGATTTCTCCATCGTGATCCTTGTCAGGTACTCCAGCTTTTGAAGGTATATTTATCTCAATTTCTCTTTTTTTCGCAACAATTTTGTCATTAAACCTGAGAATTTTCTTGCTCTTCACATGTATGCGAGCGGTCTCGGCACGAGACACAAATTTTATGCTTGGCTCTTCATCGTTCAATATATTGATATTCCGCGGATTAGCGGATAATTTTATGACGCTGAAATACGTTTTGAGAATTCCGGCAGCGAATATTATAGAGCTTTTGGCGTTTTTTGGTGCCACGTTTATCTAGCGTGAAAGCGGTAAAACTTGGCCATGTTTTATCTCATGCAGCTATATGCTCTTTATAACGGTAAATCATGCAGCCAATATAACTGTTAGCTTTTTAAAACTCGCCCCATTGCTTAGCAATAATGCAAGAGCTTTCTCCCGCAGCTTCTAGATGATACAGTCTCGTCTCTACAGTGTAACTGCAGGTTGTTTATTGCCAAGTCAAGTTTATTAATGTAATGTATACATATGAAATATAGAAGCCTCAACCTTCTATCGGGCGATCTATACTGCGTGAATATCTGCATAGGTCTAAATCAAAGACCGAATAACGTAACACTTTAACGCAACACAGTTGAATTAGAATTCATCATGATCAAGCGTGAATGTAACGAGCGAGATTGATTCTGCTACGATTATGTTGGTTTCAGTTTAGAGTAACAAGATTGGCGCAGAGAGGCGCGGGTTCGATTCCAGCTCTGTGCGCCAGTTTCTGGTCAGAATCGGCAAGGAGGTCGGGCGGTTAAGCGCAGCAGAATAGAGGCAGTGAGTTGCGAGTTCGAGACCGCAACAAGCTGTAGATGTTCTGCGATGTTAAGAATCGGCTACAGGCCTACGGCCTAATAAACGCTGAAACCGCTATTATGTGACAGTAACGCTCGTCCGATGAACGGTTGAGGCTGGCGTTAGGCAGGATATAACGCGCTTCGCTTAGGCACTCTTATAGGCGTGGCTTGAACATCGCTCGAGTTCAAATGTTGTGCATCCAGCTTTAGCATTCATTTGCATGGAAATATGTTGAACTATTTCATACAAATTTGGAAGCAGAAACAATACTTAAAATTAATTTCACATATAATATTGCATGATTCTGCACTTTAAGATAAATGTATAAAATAGTGCACCAGTTGATATTTCTATGCTTTAATTTTGAATTCGTTATATTATTCACTTTCTGCATGCACAGATCACTTGGTGATTTTGCTTCTGTATTTTCTTCCCTTTCTTATTCTAACTTTCCCGTGCCTAACTTTCTTAAACGTCGACATTTTGTGTCATTCATAGTTGATTTTAAACGAAGCAGATCTGTTAGTGCAGCATCGTTGTAATCATTCAAGCATCTGTTATAGTGCACCATCGTTCTAATCATTCAATTAAGCATCTGTTAGTGAAGCATCGTTCTAATCATTCAAGCATCTGTTAATCAGCATCATCAGTTAATGATTAGCATGCATCAGCATCTAATCATTCAGGCATCGTTGTAATCACTGCAGCAACTGTTATATAGTGCAGCATCATTTTAATCACTGAAGCATCGGTAAGTATTCATTGTCACAAGCTCTTCACGGCGCCCAGATTTTCCTGCAATTCTCGCATGCGTTATAAGTTTGCTCCTAAATTATCAAGCTCCCCTCAGCGGCTGCATGGGTGCTCTCAGGCAAAGTTCAAGTCTTTAAACAATCCTCGGACTTTCTTAACACCTCTCCCTCAATGCTAATTATTGGTGCAATGCATTATTATTGCTAGTTCTCATCCAACCATAATCACCCTCCTGTTCCGTAATGCAATTGTTGTCATGTACACTATTCTCCCTCGGTTCTTAAAGCCCTTTCAACGATAGAGAATCATTTACCATATAATCGTAATTTCCCCTTTTTTGAAAAGTGTTCTTATTATCTTGTGTGTAGAATTGCTCCTGCATTAAGAATGCATCTGTATGGAATTTTCGTAAAGTCTCACTTCACTCCAGCCTGTTGTATAAAATTTCATTCATACTCCGATTAATGCACCTATACTTTCCTAAATTCTACTGTACATGTTATCTTCCGTCTACAATTAACAAACTCCTTCCCTAAAGGTCTATGGAGGCACATGGAAGTTTTGGATGTGATGTTATGAATGTTTTCAGGAATAGTTTACCATGGCTCGGGTGATCTCACTGCAGGAGGAGACATAACCACCATAGACATAGAGTCTGGCAGGAAGCGAGAGTGTCCCATGCCGCCTTATGTCAACGACACTTCTGTCTTCAAGAACGGACAGCCCATATCCAAAGACGAGAAGTGAGTTGAATTTTTTTCCCAAGAATTTGTCATTGATTGTATAACGTACAGACGATAATATCGATATTATCGTCTGATAACGTAAATCTTCCTGACGTACAGACGATTATATCGATATTTTAAATAACAGCCATATCACTTCAAGAATTTCACATTGATTGTACATCTTTCTGACTTATACAGACGATTATATAGATATTATAAAATATCACTTCAAGAATTTCACATTGATTGTACATCTTTATACTGTAAAGACGATTATAACGATATTTTAAATAACATATTACACTTGAAGAATCTCACATTGATTGTACATCTTCCTGGTTAAAAACGACTATATAAATATTTTAAATAACAGCCATATCACACGTAGCGGTATACGTGCGATCGTGCTGCAACGTGGTTGTATATTTGACCGGTTACTTTGAAGATTATATAGCCCGAAATAAGAATTTGATTAGATAATCATTATTTAAGACGGCCTAAAGAAAGTGCACGATTGTTTCTTTATTTCTTGTTTTTGTATTCATTGATATGTTGTTTTAATTATTATTAATTTGCTCATTTATTCAGTTTATTCATCGTCCTTAATGACGCTTATTTTTATCACACAACAAAACGTAAATGTCTAGGACCACTGATTTGCTTTATTTTTATATCATTTATTCGTCGAATGGGCCCCGACATAATTGGATAATTGATAATCAGAGTTTACAGCATAACCTACGTGTTTCAACTCTGTAGCCAATATCCAAAGACGAGAACTGAGTCAACTTTTTTTCAAGAACTTTACATTGATTGTTCATCTTCCTGACGTAAATTCGATTATATCGATATCTTGTATAACAACCATATCACATGTAGAGGTAGCTACAGGGTGCGGCGCGGGAACTTACTTATTTGAATTGCGCGCCACGTGGCGGCCATTAGTCCTAGGAAGGTGGCGCCATGCGCAATATGGTGCGCGGGCTATGAAGTTTTTCGTCCACTCAGTTCANTGTTTCAACTCTACAGGTTCCCTGATGGCACGCGTAGTTAATTAGATTTTTCAACATATCCTACGTGTTTCAACTCTACAGGTTCCCTGATGGCACGCGTAGTTAATTAGATTTTTCAACATATCCTACGTGTTTCAACTCTACAGGTTCCCTGATGGCACGCGTAGTTAATTAGATTTTTCAACATATCCTACGTGTTTCAACTCTACAGGTTCCCTGATGGCACGCGTAGTTAATTAGATTTTTCAACATATCCTACGTGTTTCAACTCTACAGGTTCCCTGATGGCACGCGTAGTTAATTAGATTTTTCAACATATCCTACGTGTTTCAACTCTACAGGTTCCCTGATGGCACGCGTAGTTAATTAGATTTTTCAACATATCCTACGTGTTTCAACTCTACAGGTTCCCTGATGGCACGCGTAGTTAATTAGATTTTTCAACATATCCTACGTGTTTCAACTCTACAGGTTCCCTGATGGCACGCGTATATCGTACACGTGCAAGGAGACACATGCGGACCCCAACAACCACGACCATCATCCGCACTTCAGGTAAATTGCTTGCCATAAAAAATATCTCCTGCCTAATGATTTTAATTTAAATAATCTTGGTGTCAAACCATTTTCAAAAGCACTTCCGGTAAATTGCTTGTCATAAAAAATATCTCCTACCTAATGATTTTAATTCAAATAATCTTGGTGGCAAAACATTTTCAAAAGCACTTCAGGTAACGCAAGGCTCCTAAAAAATATCTCCTACCTAATGATTTTAATTCAAATAGTCTTGGTGTCAAAATATTTTCAATAGCAGTGCAGGTAACGCAAGACTCCTAAAAATATCTCCTACCTAATGATTTTAATTCAAATAATCTTGGTGGCAAAACATTTCCAATGTTACATTAAAAACGATGAAATTTTCAAAAATGTTCAGCGTAATTCTATTTTATTGTATATTTTTCGAAATTAGTAAGCATTAGTTAGTGCAATCTTCCAAATGTATATCCATCATTCAACGCTAAGTAAATTAGCAGAATTAGACACAAATTGATTGATGTTTAAAAGTTCTTAGAGATTTTTTATTGCGACTCTGACTGACCGTATAAGATGTTGCTTAGTGTGTCTGTATAGGGGACTTATTTCATTACAATCTGCTTTATAGTACCCTTATTCTGCTGATAAATAATTTTATTATTATTTTGTTCAGTATTTATTTATAAATACATATTCGGTGTCGGATAGAGATAGAATTTAGATTTAAAGGTCACTTTTGTTTAATAAGGCGGTTCTTTCTGAGAAAATATCGCCAAAATGTGTGTTGTTTGAGCTTGTACAGGGAAAGAACCAATCTAGTAAAGATATGCCAATTCCACTAGTAATGACCTAAGTACGTCAGAACTTAATTTATATGGGAAAATTTCATCAATCTCTTCAGACATCTCTCACCCATTATTAAACATTTTTTCTCCCTTTGGAGCCCCAGATAATGTTTTACTGGGAAATCTTTTCAAGCGGATCCATTTGGCAGTTATCCGCAAAAAAATCTTAGGTGGATAGCGACTGCCTAAAAAGGTAGTTTTTCGCTCCACCCAATTTATAAGCTACAACCAGTTGATCAAATTGGTCACAGTATTTGCAACGCCGTTTTGGTAGGAAATAATTTCTCTAGAAATAGTACGGTATTAATGCGCGTCTGCATTACTGTCGGTCTAGTGTGAAATAAATTATCTATGAATTGATACGTACGTTATCCCATTTTGGTGTAAAATTATTTCTCTGAAGACTGGATGGTATTGATGCCCTGATGCCCGTTTGCATTACTTTCGGTCTAGTGTCATATTAATTGCCTAACAATTGATACGTACGTTATCCCATTTTGGTATAAAACAATTTCTTTAGATACTGGACTGTATTAATGCCTGTCGGTTTAGTGTCATATAAATTGTCCATAAATTGATACGTTATTAATGCACATGCACGTTGCAGTTGGGGAATTAGGTGCAGCGATGGTGCGTGGGTGGGCAACACGACGAACTGTACACAGGCGAGCGAGCTCACAGAGATGGACTACGGCGACATCCCGTGCATCTTTCCAGGCGTCAACCCGCACGTCATTACCTTCTTCCAGGACCACGAGGTCACCGAGACCAACGTACAGTTCCAGGCCGGCTCCAGGCTGGTGAGTAGTCAACTTACTTGTCAACTTGCTTGTAACCTTGCTTGTCAACTTGCTTGTCAACTTTGGTACTGCGTAATATTTGGTTATCTAGGTACAGATAATCAAGGTCAAGTTCCATACTAGCTCCAGGCTGGTGAGCAGTCAACTTGCTTGTCAACTTGCTTGTCAACTTACTTGTCAACTTGCTTGTCAACTTACTTGTCAACTTACGTGTCAACTTACTTGTCAACTTGCTTGTCTACTTGCTTGTCAACTTTGGTACTGCGTAATATTTGGTTTTCGGGGTACAGATAATCAGGGTCAAGTTCCATACTAGCTCCAGGCTGGTGAGCAGTCAACTTACTGATAAGAACGACGAAAATTAATCTACATGGATCAGACTGTACGAATGTTAATCTGCACTGATAAGAAAGGCCGACTATTAATCTACACGGTTAAGACTGTACGAAGTTTATCTGCACTGATAAGAAAGGCCGACTATTAATCTACACGGGTAAGACTGTACGAATGTTAATCTGCACTGATAAGAAAGGGCGACTATTAATCGACACGGGTAAGAGTGTACGAATTTTAATCTGCACTGATAAGAAAGGCCGACTATTACTACATGGATCAGACTGTACGAATGTTAATCTGCACTGATAAGAAAAGCCGACTATTAATCTACACGGGTAAGACTGTACGAAGTTTATCTGCACTGATTGGAAAGGACGAACATTAATCTACATAAATAAGACTACGTTTGCACGATTAAGACTACTGGGGCCATACTTTCAAATCTCGCTAAGTGAACGTAAGTACTTACGCTCTATTTTCTTGTCTATGATTGGTGGATTTTGCTCGAAAGGCCGTCAATGATTGGCTGATGAACTTACGATCTCTTAAATTTTTTGAAAGTATGGGCCCAGGTTATTTAATGGCTGCCATTGACACGTGCCGCTCAGGTGTCACGATGCGTGGACATCGGCAAGTACAAACTGAACGGCACCGTGGAGCAGACGTGCGTGTACGGCAAGTGGCTGGGGGTACTGCCGACCTGTCTCGCCCTCAGCCAGCTCGCTAACTTCTCGCGTGAGTTTAGCAAGTATTATGTTAATTTTACTTCAATGTTTATAACAATGAATTGTATTGTAGCATTAATTCATTGAGCAAGTATAATGTAAATTTTACTTTCATATTTATATCAATGAATTGTATTGTAGCAGCCCTCAGCCAGCTCGCTAACTTCTCGCGTGAGTTATATCTATTATAATAAAAATTGTACTTCCATATTTATATCAATGAAGTGTAATGTAGTATTAATTCATTGTATGATATTATTTAATTTAATTGTTAATTTATTTACTCACCTCTGTTGCCTGCGAAGCTTATCTGCTTATGGGCTTCACTTGGGTGTCTATATTTTTTATAAATGTTTTCTTTTTTCTTTTAAATTGTAACTAGAGCTCCTTTGTGAATAAAAAAATCAATCAAAAATCAATCAATTGTAGTATTATATCACAATTCTAATAGTATTCTATAGTCGAATGCTAAAAATTCTTCATGGCTCAGTCCGAGCAAAGGCTTAACACGCCTCCATGACTAGCACGAGTAAGTCTTCACTATCAAATTTTTTAATAAAATACAATTATTTTGCTGCGCATTACAAATATTACCCCGCGTGATGCTGGTGGATTGCATTTTAGTTTATTTGTAAATAAATTGTACGCGTGAGCATTAAATGCAATAATCATCTCTTTTATATGCAAGATCCCTATTAAGTACATAACCCTAGCAAAATTTACGACAGCAACCGAATATGATTTGATTATGTATTCCTAAGCTTGATCAAGTATTAAAATAGCTATAGTTAATTTTGATTAATCTCTTTTATATGCAAGATCCAAGCTATTACGTAACCCTAACAAAATTTACGACATCAATCGAATATGATTTGATTATCTATTCTCACCTTGATCAAGTATTAAAATAAATATCGTCAATTTAGAGCTAATTTCTTACGACATAACCCTTAACAATACCTTAAATTATTTCAAGCATTCAACATCAAAATTAAGACCAACAAATCAAGTATAAAAATAGCTATCCCCAATTTTTAGCAAATTTTTTTAGCAAAAACGTAACCTTTAATAATACTTGAAATTTATTTTCGAGCAATTCAACATCAAAATTAAGACAAACAATGACAATTTTCAGGCGACCTACCACCTACCATCTTGTTCCGTCACTACCACGGCCCCATCGCACAGACCAACGACGGACAGCTCATGGTCTACCCCAACACCTTCCTCACCCTAGAGTGCCTCTACATCAGGCGCTTCGGCTCACCCAGGTGGAACGTCACCCAGAAGTCGGAGTGAGTACTCAGAGTGTAGCTAGTTACTCTGACAAGTGCTAGTAGCTAGTTACTCTGCGTCACCCAGAAGTCAGAGTGAGTACTCAGGGTGTAGCTAGTTATTCTGACAAGTGCTAGTAGCGTGGTAGTCACTCTGACAAGTGCTAGTAGCGTGATCAACACTCTGACAAGTGCTAGTGGCGTGATCGTCACTCTGACAAGTGCTAGTAGCGTGATCGTCACTGCGTGGTCGTCACTCTGACAAGTACTAGTAGCGTGGTCGTCACTCTGACAAGTACTAGTAGCGTGGTCGTCACTGTGACAAGTACTAGTAGCGTGACCGTCACTCTGACAAGTACTACCTAGTAGCGTGATCGTCACTCTGACAAGTACTAGTAGCGTGATCGTCACTCTGACAAGTACTAGTAGCGTGAAAGTCACTCTGACGAGAGTGTGTGTTTGCCTAGTGTAAAAATCACGTGGGTGAGATGCAGTTGTTTTAGTTTTGCATGCTGATTGTGAGGTATGATACAATGTTATTTTATTAGCTGATAATGATGGTTATACCCTGTTAGTTGATGCAATATTGAAGGATTCTATAATTATAATAGGATTTAGCACCATTATTTGGCATTAATAATAGCCTCAGTGCTTTACATCTGTGAATTAAGAAGGAAAATCCCTTGTTTATCAGAAATGGAGGCCAATTTGTTCGTTTTTGAAAGTGACAGAAACGTTTACGTTGAAAGCAACAACGGCTGTGTTTTTTTACGTTGTTCTATCCAGACACGAGCGTTTCTGTTGCGGATACTATCAGGGTCTTAACCGAGTTGTTCATATTTTATACGTCGCAACAATTTGTCACTCTTCAACACTAGATAAGATGTCAACGACTTACAACTTTAACAACGGCAGCCACCCGCCCCCTTCAGCTCACAAAGGCTCACCGTTATATACACGCCGTCAACTCACTTGATACACTAATTATTATACATTAACGATTTATCTTCTACAACTATTACGATCTACTGCTAAATATTAACGCCTAACATGCACTAAAAGTTGGTGGTAGGCGGCGACTGTTCAGGACCTACAAGTGGTACTTGTGGAAACGAAGAATTTCAGAAATTGTTTCTTGATGATGCACAACTATAAAACGATATTTGGATCATGAACCCTAATCTTCATAGATGATCTATTCATGTTTTATTTCCATTTCAGAATCCACCACCAGAAGAAAAAGAAGCGCAGGCAGAAGATGAAATCTGCTAAAGGAAAAGGTCGCGTCGGAGAAACTGAGAAGTACGGGGTTGGGAGGAACTGAGCATTGTCGTATCGCAATTTATTTTCTAAATAAGTGCTAACTTCCTTCTTTTTAGGAAGGTTCTAGTTAATAAAGAGTAATTGAAATTATGCATTATATAGTTTCTCTTTGGCAGCGCTCAATTACGTTTTTTCTTTCCTGTTGAAGACTGAGTCCTTTTTTAGAGATACAATTTTATAAAATTTTCATTCGCTTTTGGTTTTTCTCAAACTCTATTCACAAATTATGAGCGCTTTCGTGTATGTTGCCTGCTGTTCGATTATTAATTCATGTATTTCATCCAAAATATCTGAATTAATATATGAGATATCTGAATAGTGAGATAATTATTCGTGTCAATTATTCGAACTTAAGTAATCTAAAAGCATACCGAGACATTTTTGTGGACGCTACATAATTTTTTTGCCAACCAGGCGGTACGAAGACGGGTGGACGGTTGACCCGCGACGCAACCGGCAGTTGGAGTACCGTCTGTCGCTGTACAAAACTAAGGAGGAAGATGCTGGTACCTACACCTGTACCACTCCTGAGGAGCACCACCATTCTGTCAGAATCGTGGTAGCACGTAAGTACCCCTGCACCACTCCTGAGGAACACCACCACTCTGTCAGAATCGTGGTAGCACGTAAGTACCCCTGCACCACTCCTGAGGAACACCATCACTCTGTCAGAATCGTGGTAGCACGTAAGTACACCTGCACCACTCCTGAGGAGCATCACCACTCCGTCAGAATCGTGGTAGCACGTTAGTATACCTTCACAACTCCTGAGGAACACCACCACTCTGTCAGAATCGTGGTAGCACGTAAGTACACCTGTACCACTCCTGAGGAACACCACCACTCTGTCAGAATCGTGGTAGCACGTAAGTACACCTGTACCACTCCTGAGGAGCACCACCACTCTGTCAGAATCATGGTAGCACGTGAGTGAAGTACTAACATAATTCACTATTCACCAACAACTAAAATTCTTAGTGATTTCTGAATGACATTTTTTAAATAGCGCACCACGAGCTCGTCAGGGAGACTATCTTGCTTTCCCTGCCGCTGAGATTCGGCAGCGATTAAAATAACAGAGCTGCTGGGATCTGGATTACTCAGAGTGTTTGACTCTGACATCGTATTGATATATAATGAATTCAAGGGTCAACAGCCCAATCAGGTCAATGTTCATGCCAAATTAAACTTGAACATTTCTTCAGGCGTGCACTGCTCGGCTATCAACAAGACCACGGCGCTTCAGTTTGACTCGACATCGACGAAGCTGAGTTCTAAAATCACCTTCACGTGCGACCCAGGGCACTACCTGGTGGGGGCGCCCCAGATCTTCTGTAAGGCCTCCGGCAACTGGTCCGCCCCGGTGCCCCACTGTGAGAGTGAGTCTTGCGTTGGTCTTCAGGCCACTGGAGTCTTTTGATAAGTCTTAGATGTATGAAAATGTATCAAATCTTCGCAAATATTGTGCTTTGTTTCCTAATGTCTAATATCTGGAAGTTTGCTCTGTATGAACATCGTTGTCTGAAAATGAGACGGTTATATCTTCTTTATACAATTGATAGTTTTCACTCTGCTGCCTTGCTTGCATTGGATTCCGATGCTTGAAGTTTGCAAATGAAGCAAAGGTTATTCAATCCTCGCAGTTTTTCCTCCAAAACGTACTTTCGCCTTCCTTGTACATAACTTTCCAAAGCAGTCACAACCCATTGGGCATTGATGCTAAATTAATGTCGGTGTAGTATGTGCAAAACGAATATGAAATCGATTGAATTTCATATCTGTATGTTAATTTTTTATTATAATTTTGTTGTACACGCGACATTAGTGATAGTGTGCCCACCCATCGTGGTGGTGGGTGAACTATGGGCGCATATAACCATCATATCCCGCATACTGGGAGGCCGAATGATCTTCTCGTGCCCGAAACATTTTAAACTCCTGGGCCCATCGCAAGCGGTCTGTCAAAACGACGGCAAATGGTCGTCTACTCCTCCATCTTGTATCGGTTCGTCCTCCATCTTGTATCGTTTCGTCCTCCATCTTGGATCGGTTCGTCGACTGATCAATTTCTTGTGCTTGCATTCAACCCTGAACGATGTTGAATTTTTTTTCAATAAATTCGAGCCTCACGAGAAGACTGTTTGGCTGAACACTGCCCTTTAACTTCCCTTGAATTTTTCTCATTAAACAACGAGCCCTGCGACCCCAAAAATACACATAAATTTGGTTTTCGGGTCGTAAATTTTTTTAACGTTGTTTTTTAGACCTTTTTTTAGACGTCAACGTGTTATTTTTATGTTCGACAACAGACCTGATGCATCCGCTCTAAACACGACCTAAGGGCGTGAAACTAATTTTGATTTACGTGGCTAATATTTCTTGTGAAACTAAATCCTGCACCAACCCTTGAACCCTTGAAACAGACCTTTGAACTCCGAATTTTTCATTAGGGCGTTTAAATTTCCATGATCTTCGATTGCGTTAGTCGTTACTAATACGGTACATGTAGAGAATTATCAACAGTATCGCTGGAAATACTTCTCACTCTCCAGAATAAACGTGTACATAAGCCGTGATAAACGTGTAAGCTTTAAATTAAATCTGAAGCCCAAGTAGCATGTTGGCTACCGCTGGCCACATTCATTGGCCTCCTAGAGACCAGGGTTGTCAGACGGCCTTTTTCCGGACAAATTCCGCGTTTTAGTTTGTAACGCATTTTCTCATTTATGGAAAAAATGCACTATTGTGCTCGCCATGACCGATATATGTATATATATATTCCTCAAAATTAATAAGTTATTTGACGAATTTCCAGAAGAGCTGGATTCCCTTGATAAAATTTTGATTTGGGGATAGCAATTTCTACACACAATTACGAACGTGATGAAGGGTTTGTGAAGTTTATGGTGAAGGGAAACGTCTTATGACGTCGCGTTGCATGAAGGCCTCGATCGCCAGAGAAATTGTGTGGAACGTTTACAGTTAAAAGTAATTTATACCAACAAAAGACTGGCATAAGCGACTTGTACTAAAAAAATTTAAGATGTAAATGGGAACTTAATTCCTCCAAAGTAAAGACAGTGCCTTGCTCTTCTCTTTTTGATCAGATGCCAATCGAAACAATATTTCACAGGCAATATCAAGGTAAAATTTAGTGTTTTTCTTGCCTATCAGGATCAACGTAATTTTTTGGATTCACAATTAGTAATTATTTGCTATTAATTGTTAATGATTTATTGGTGTTTATAAATAATTACCTGGTGGACAATTGATGGCGCTATTGACTGATGTTATTGGTATTTAAAAATTAAATTGGTGCACAATTGATGGCGCTTAAATTGGTGCACAATTGATGGCGTTGTTGACTTATGTTATTGGTATTTATAAATCAAATTGGTGCACGATTGATGGCGCTTAAATTGGTGCACAATTGATGGCGTTGTTGACTTATGTTATTGGTATTTATAAATTAAATTGGTGCACGATTGATGGCGCTTAAATTGGTGCACAATTGATGGCGTTGTTGACTTATGTTATTGGTATTTATAAATTAAATTGAAGTTGAGGGCTTGGGATGTTCAATAAATTAAATTGGTGCACAATTGATGGCGCTAAAATTGATGCACAATTGATGACGTTAACACAACAGAAGTGCGGTGTGAGACTCCATTGATTAATGGGTTAATGGTTAATTGATCTTATTAATGGTTATTGATGTTATTGGTACTTATAAATTATTAACTGGTGCACAATTGATGACGTTGACACGACAGAAGTGCGGTGCGAGACCCCACGTCCCCCCGACCACGGTGTCGTGGAAGGGGATGGACCGTACCATGCTGGGGACATCGTCCAGGTCTCATGTCTCCCCAACTACAAGATGGAAGGCCAGGGCTTCATCGTCTGCCAGCAGAACGGGCTGTGGTCTGAGGAGGTGCCCAACTGTGAGTCTTGTCTGCAATTATCTATTATAAATTATACATAATATATATTATATATATCCATTGGTCCGCTTCATTATCCATACGTTAAACTTTATGGATACTTTAAACATTTACTTCATTTTTAAACTTTATGGATACTTCATTTTAACTTTATGGATAATGAACTTAAAGTCTTGCCATCAATAATCTATTATATATTTGTGCAGTTATCAATACGTTATACATTAATCCGCTTCATTAAACATACGTTAAAGTCTTGTCTTCAGTAATCTATTATATATTTGTGCAGTTATCAATACGTTATACATTAATCCGCTTCATTATACATACGTTAAAGTCTTGTCAGCAATAATATATTATATATTATATAATATATATAATATATATTATATATATCAATAAATCCGCTTCATTATCCATACGTTAAAGTCTTGTCATCAATAATCTATTTTATATTCGCGCATTTCATTATCCATTATTCCGCTTCAAAATCCTATGACCTTCTTACTAACTGCTATAAATATATTATAATCCCCAATAAGTGTTCATACGTATTCTCCAAACTCATAAACGATGGATAAATATGAAGAATTGTGGGAGGTTTATAGGTATGTTACTCTTGGACAATAATGATAGGTAACGCTATTATTGACCCTTGAGGTAATGATGGTAAAATTTCTGAACGAAATGTAAGTATTTCTTCTAAAATGAATGTTGGTAATGCTAATGAAGTAAATGCTAGTAATGCTTCTAAAAGGAACGCTAGCAATACTTCTGTAGGAAATGCTATAGTAATGCTACTGAAGTAAACGCTAGTAATGCTTCTAAAAGGAATCACGGCAACCACCAAGGCAGCTCCTGAACACCCCACGGCAACCACCAAGGCAGCTTCTGAACACCCCACGACAACCACCAAGGCAGCTCCTGAACACCACACGGCAACCACCAAGGCAGCTCCTGAACACCCCACGGCAACCACCAAGGCAGCTCCTGAACACCCCACGGCAACCACCAAGGCAGCTTCTGAACACCACACGGCAACCACCAAGGCAGCTTCTGAACACCACACGGCAACCACCAAGGCAGCTCCTGAACACCACACGGCAACCACCATGCAAGGCAGCTTCTGAATATCTGTTATCAACATATGGGATTTTATGTCATTTTATTTTAGTCACTGCAGCTTTTCTCAACCTTCACTCAAGTTGCTGTAGCTCCTAGAAAACTTGACTTAGATTGCTCAGCTGTAAGAATTCGTCACTCTAGTCAATGCAACTGTATAAGAAATTTTCGCTCGAGGCACAGCAGCTTTAAAAATACTTTTTTTCCAATAACTTGCCAGTGGTAAGACATATGAAGATCCTAATGTATTGAAAATCTACTCCTATATTATTTTTAACAATTATTTAGCTTTAAATTCTTCAGTTTTACCTTTTGTTGTCATATTTCGGGTGCTTTTTCATGCAGTCATTGCTAACAGCCCCGAGTCCCTGCTATAAATCAATGCACAAAATTTTCATATCAATCGAGAAGTTCGTATTCGAGTCTGAGCTTCTATTCATCAGACATATTTACTCGTACGTTAGCCCAACTCTAAAAAAATATAACTCAGTACTCACTGCAATGAGTGACAGAGAGCGCATTTTCTCGTCGACGAAAACGTGAAGTCACGAACGGACGGACAGACAGACAGACGGACGGACGGACGGACGGACGGACATGGCGAGCACAATAGTGCATTTTTTCCATAGATGAGAAATTGCGCTAAAAACGCATTTTCGACGCATAATTTGTGTTTTTTTTCTTGAAAGTTGTTATATTTGAGGTTGTCTGTGTTGCCCGTCACGGAAAGAAACCTTAACTGTTGTCGTTAACATTAAATTTCATATAGGGGCTAAATTATTTTAATCTATTTCCCTTCCATTACGACGAGTTTAATTTCAACCAAACGATCATACCAGCCGAAAAGCGCACGGCCATCAAATCTAAAGATCAAATATGCACACGATTTCGATCAAATTCTCGGACATTTAGTCATATTCAATTCTACTAAAAGTAATTCGAAAAATTATTTATAATGTTGTTGAATTCTTTATGTTGAAATAATTATTTATAGATCTATTCGGTCGTTGTACGTTGACTTAAGCTGTAGGACGATGCGAATGATAGTTTGCGCTAATCTTAAATCTTTGATATACTTATGTTCATTTTGAAATTTCGTATTTGTTATAATATTATATGATGAAGTCATATAACTTAGAATTTCATGTGGTGTGTATAGGTAATTAGATATGGAAAGTAAACTATAAATATACCTTTTATTTATGCTCTAATGCCAACCTGCAGCTACATTTTATCAGGCGAATCATTTAACGAACAACCATATTAAGTCGAGCGTTAAAAAACATTGCAATTCAAAGTTTCCTATCAAAACCTTGCAATTTAAAATTTCCCATTGAAACTTTGACGTTCACTGTCACCATTCAAGATATAATGTTGGTATAAAAGTTTTTGAGATTAGTAGAGGTGGTTCAGAAGTCGAAATTAGACTGCACTATGTACTCAATTACATTGTTTGAATTGGAGCAAAAATGGTTGAAAGTTCGAAAATGTACCCAGTAACTGCAACAGAGGTATTCAATTTCTCCCAGAAATTTATTTAGATTGTTATTGCTTGTAATTACTATAATTTATAGCATATTTATTATAATGTTTTAATTTTAACTCGAAGGGTTCGGGTAATATTTACTAAAATATGTTGCATTTGTGATTAAATGAAATATAATGATTTTGCTTATGAATTGTTGCAGATGAATGAACGGATGATTGATAGTTTGGAGGAAAATAACATGTTGTTATATATATTTCCCTGGCGACTAGTATTTAGTGAAGTAGGTCTAGTGAAGTAATTAAGGATTCATATAAATCTATCCTAGTGTTAATACACTTCTATTTGACCTAATTTATTGAAAGATTTCATTTAAAGTCTTGGATATCTGCTTAATATTAAGCTGCGATTTTCATGAACAACGTTCCTGGGGCCATACTTTCAAAACTCGCTAAGTGAACGTAAGCACTTACGCTCTATTTTCTTGTCTATGATTGGTGGATTTTGCTTGAAAGGCCGTCAATGATTGGCTGATGAACTTACGACCTCTTAACTTTTTTTGAAAGTATAGCCCCTGTTCTGTAAGTGTTTAAATTAAAGGAATTGTATTCGCCGGAGTTTCTAACCTCTTTTATTTAATTAAATCTAAAACAATCTTATATTTCCCAGTACATATCCATACTCTGATGAAAACTTAAATTTGTAATTTCCTCTCTGCGGACTCGATTATTTCCGGTACTGTTTGAATAACTAAAACGCTGTTACAAGTCGCGTTGCGGTACATAATTAGTAAAAATTTGCCGCTGTTTAGATGCGCATAAAATTATTTAATTTTCACGAAGGTTTTTTGTTTCTTCAAAGTGTCAAAATTTTGTCAAAGTCCAAAAAACGTGAGCTACGTAATTATTCCTTAGGGGACCTATGCCTACGTACTTATTCATCGTAATTGGGGACCTATGCCTCCCTCTGCCCCGTCTAATATCTATTGTACACTTTACCTGCTATAAAGTATTACTGTTGTACATATTTATTTTCATCTAAGCTAAGAAGATTCGAAAATTAAATATTCGAGGCTTTATTCAGTGGATGCACCTAAAGTCAAAAAATTTTTATTTATATTTTTATTCTTACATTCCCAACTTAAAAACATTTTTATTATTATATTGCATTCTTACATTCCCATCGCAACTCTGGTGGTTAACAGCAATAAGACGAGTCATTCAGAGATATTCCGATCGTACTCTAAATTTTCATACATAAATTCGAAAAGACTAATAAGCTGAAGATTTGAATGTCCCATCCATTCATGCTATAATAGTGAATACATTACTTACTGTCTTCCATTTGTTGGGTGTCGATATAGCTTGTAGTTCTTGCTCCTTTACTTCGCTCGATGTCAAATGTCTCTGCTTCAATAAAGTCCACACGTAAACCTCCACATTTTATTATCCTTATTATTGTTAGTATCTCTCTGAAATATAATACAATATAATATGATCATTTTGATATGACTGCGTCATCCTGTTTATATTATTATTATTATTCCACGAAGAGATTGTCGTGGCGTCTCGTTCAGATCGAACTTCGAGGGCACGTTACAAGTGGCTAAAAAAGACACGAGAGGATGAAAACAGATGCGGTCTATGCTAAAACAAAGGACATATGTATATAATATAATTAAATAAGATATAATTAAATAAGTCAACTTATGTATTCAACTTTGCGGTAATCTGTAGTGGCAACTCAGCTTGTGACTCCTCAAAATCGACAGGTCTTGAGATAAAAAGCTAAAAATAATAGCTGTTTTTAACCCCTCCCTTCCCACCGCAAAAAATATGACCTATTTATGTAGATAATGTAATTTTCATATTTTGAGCAACACAAGTTGGAAATTAAATTCTGAAGCCGAACCTGAAAGATCAACAGACGTCCGTTGTCCGATTTTAGTTTCTTTTATAGATTAAGTTTATGTTTAATCAATTGTCAGAGAATATAAGTATTAAACTCACTAAATATTGTCTGTCGTTAAAAAATAATCCACAAAGCTGGCTGATATCTTCCTGTCTAAATTAATTTTATCATCCTAAATTTGATTATGATTTTGCGAGGTATAATTGCAAATTAATCATTTGTACTGAAACATCAAGCCAGCGGCAGCGCTTAGCCGCTTAAACCAACACGGTGAATGAAATGAATTAGTTCGTGATCAAGTCTACTGCACTTATGAATTAAGTGCTATTGCTATATGCGTGATTTAATTACCAAAAAACGTGAATGCATTGAATTAGCTGGCGATAAAGTCTACCGCACTTATGAAGTTCTATTGCTATATGCGTGACTTTCTTACTAAGAACGTGAATGCATTGAATTAGCTGGTGATAAAGTTAACCTCACTTATGAAGTGCTATTGTGACATGCGTGACTTTCTTACCAAAAACGTGAATGCTTTGAATTAGCTGTAATCAAGATCAAGTTCACCGCACTTATGAAGTGCTATTGCGACATGCGTGACTTTCTTACTAAGATCATGAATGCATTGAATTAGTTCGTGATCAAGTTCACCGCACTTATGAAGTGCTATTGCTACATGCGTGACTTTCTTACAGAAAACGTGGCATTGAATTAGTTGGTGATCAAGTCTACCGCACTTATGAAGTGCTATTGCTATATGCGTGATTTAATTACCAAAAACTTGAATGTATTGAATTACCTGGTGATCAAGTCTACCGCACTTATGAAGTGCTATTGTTCAGCATTTCAAATCTGCTCGTTTTTGTGAGGGCGGCGACAGGCGACCACAGGTCTACCGTCGCAAAAAGATTGTTTCAATTAATTATTTACTGAAAGAATTCTAATTCTACAATAAGGTCATTTCACCACATGAATTTCTCTCATTATTAGGCATTATTTTAAGGGTGCTTTAGTTTTACTTATAGAAAGGTTTCAATTACTGGCTAATCAGAAATAATTTAAGAATCCCACAATAATTTACGGAGCAGGGACGTGAGAGATACTGAGTGACGGTCATACTATATGATGTTAAAATGATAATAATAATGATAGAATATTTATAAATTTTCAGTCCATTTTAGCTCCCAACACTTCTTTTAGAGGAATAAACATGAAAAACAGAAGCCTATATTCAGAAATTGAGAGATGTTTAACTTAAATATTTTATTGAAATCACTTTTATAATCATATATTTTTTTGTTATAATCGTATTTGCACGAAGTAAAAAAAATTCATTATGCTTCTTCAATTAAAATGACAGTCACCAGTTAAAAATTACAAGCACGGCAACCCACTATACGTTGTGCATGAAATATTGCACAAGGTAACAATTGTTAGCATAAATTCACGCTAGCTCTTGATACACTTGACTACAACCGTACTGCTCAGGTACAGGCAGCTCTCCTTGAACTGGGGCCATACTCTCAAAACTCGCTAAGTGAACGAAAGTACTTACGCTCTATTTTCTTGTCTATGATTGGTGGATTTTGCTTGAAAAGCCATCAATGATTGGCTGATGAACTTACGATCTCTTGACTATTTTTTAAAGAATAGGCCCATGACTGTTATGGCACAGCAATCAACCAACTGCTTCTGCTACCGCTGATTACGACCAGCAGTAGTCTAGCAGCTGAAAGGTCCTAGAGCAAGTAGTCCTATAATAATATTGAGCTGAAAGGTCCTAAAGCAGCCTCTAGAAGCTCAATGTTATTGCGCAATATGGTTAACACAGTATATTGAAGGGAGCCCCTAGTAGCTCAATACCATTGCACAATATTATTGAGCGTCTATAGGGGCCATATTAGCGGTTTGTGCAATTACGCGATTTACAGAATCTTGAAAATATATCTGGAAGAAATTGTGCCACAAACTGGAAAAAATATAACTCAGTACCCACTGCAGTGAGTGACAGAGAGCGCATTTTCTCGTCGACGAAAACTTGAGGTCACGGACAGACGGACGGACAGACAGACGGACATGGCGAGCACAATAGTGCATTTTTCCATAAATGAGAAAATGCGCTAAAAATTGTGCCATCTAGGCGCTACATTGCGCAATATTCGCTTAGTGCGTCCCTAGCGGGCGTTCGATCGAAGTGGTTATGCTTATCGCGTATCCTTATCATGGATGAAAAATATATAAACTACTTCAGCACTTCATTGAACTTTATAGTGCATGGTCTCCAAGTTTTATGGGATTTTAAATGCTAAGATAATAACAACTCGTTCGAAAAAGGGGAGCAGTACGATCATATTTTCCTTGTCCGCAAACCAGTACCTGCATTTTTTCGATCTTTCTGCGAGCCTTCTCCTTTATATTCTACAACTTTCGGCCACATAATTATGACACAACACGATTCAGTCTCGCTCGACATGTTGACTTCATGAAAGTCTGGCAGGGACTGTTTGCGCAATATAGTTGTGTATATTGCGCAACTCATCAATATGGCCTTCAGACGCGCAATACTATTGCGTAATATTGCGCAATAATATTGAGCATCTATAGGCGCTGCTTAACGCAATGCATATTTGGCGTCTTTTAATTTTGAATTTTTCCTATTTATTTTTTGTTTTCTATTCTTTATTCTTTATTTGCGCAGGAGCATACAAAAAAAAATTCATAACAAAAAATATAAAAAATTTAGAGAAAAATACAAAATGCTTCCATGTGAATGCCCATATAAGCTAAAAAGCTTCACAGGCGACATTAGCGATATTACAATCGAAAAACAATAACAAATGACGATGGGATAAGACAAAAGGTAACAGAAAGTGACTAAATTGAAAACATCCTGATAAAAACTAACCATTAGTAGTACTGATTTAAGAATAACTAGCATGGCGACTAAAAATAATATTCAACAAAGGCAGTAACAACTCTACCTAAAAAGTTAAATACAACTAAGACGAAAAGTCGAAACAATGTTGACTTACACAATATTATTTTAAAAATATTATTGAGAAAAGGCAATTACCAAAATCTTACAAAACTTATCAGAGTCAAATTAATAACGAGTAAGAATAAAATCGCGGAATTTAGTCTTTAAACTGAATTTAGAACAATCAATTTTAAAATAATCAGGTAATTCATTAAAATATTTCACACAATTAAAAACTGTACCGTTTCTTTCAATTTCCAAACGAACCGGGGGTAAGTTAAAACGCATGCCCCTGGTGTCATGGGAATGTAGGGGAACAAGAGAGGCGAATGCAGAATTAAAAAGACGTTCATCATGGAAGAGTGCCCTATTCATGAATTTTAAAAGCTGAAATTTGTACATATCGTCAAGTTTTAAAATATTCGACTGCCTATATAATACAGTAGTACGAGTCAAAGGGATATTATTTTCAACAAACCTAACCCGTAATATAGTACGCAACGATTTATTTATTAATGTGATGACCCGTTTTTTAGAATTAAAAGGTACCCCACCCCATATGATCAGCGTGTTCGACAGTTTAGATACGGAAATTGAGTAGAAAAGCGTTCTTAATGATGGAAGAGGTAAAACACTAGATAGAGCAAGCAAAACACCATGGGCTTTACTCGCTCAGTCCCTGACATACGTAGGTAATGTCTTTATTGTATTAATTAATGTTGACATTAGCGGCTTATGCAGCATTTTTTACAATTCATCACCATTCCACTCGAACAGAAATGAGCTTGGTTTCCCTGACAGGGCTTCGGAAATAAGATCGTTTCTTTCATCCGTCGTCAGCGAAAGGTTAGAGCAGACGTAAAGCTTCTTCCCTACAGCGCCCTGGAGCTGGCGCACCATCTTCAAGCCGTCCTCGTATAAGAAGTTCCCAGAAATCGTGACTTGTCCATAACGTTTCTTCCTGAAAGGAATTAACGACATAAAATATGTGTGTAATGCACGTGTTAAGCCGAACACTAATAATGGGAAATTTTGAAATCTAAAATATATTTTTATGAAATGAACACTTAAATAAATGATTTCAGTTATCAATTGTATTTCGCTATGGTATTCATTTCCGATTCATAGTAAGTATTGGAATATTGATATTGAACTTCTTCAGTCTTGGTGAAAATTTTATCATGGCCTATTTGCTAAAGTCTTTGGAGACTGCTAATTTGAAGAATGTACATTAGTGATGGCAAAAAAATTACAGCAGCTGTATTATTTCATGAATAAACAAACCACAGAAATAAGGTTGAATTTATAATAAATGAAATTTTGAATTACAGTTAATAGGAATCACTAACTGTGGGTATGTGTCATTGATGAAGCGGAGTGTCTGGTCCAGATCATCATCGATCAGTTTGGTAATGTGTAGATTGATCTCACAATTTGGTTTCCTTAATCCCTGGAAACGCTTTGGAGTAATTTTTTCAGTTGTTTTGGCATTGACCAAGTCAATCTTCAAGACTAACTTGGTTAAATTTTTCATTCGAGCGGCATGCTCCGTGATGGCATTAAATGCCCGCATGCTGCATACTTTGGTTGCCACGCGTTTGCAGTCTCGAAGTTTCGGAACTTCCTTCTCCCCGATGTGGCCTTCAAACTCGACGAGAGAGGTCCAGTTTTCGAAAAATTTAAGGTACGAATCACTGAAGTGATTAGCATCATCGTGCAAGTGATGAAGAATTTTTAGAACCAGTTTAACCTTTGCTTCTCCATGTTTAGCCTCTCTGTCCATCTTGTTTTGCAGTGCGGTCAACGTAGCATTCAGTTCAGAAATTTTTTTCGGGTCGTCAATGACTCTTAAGTCTATTGTTAACTCGTCAACGTGAATATCGGGGCAATGGGTCAAAAGTTTAAGACCCGGAACTAAAGTTTCTGAGTTTAAGCTCCACATTTCATCTGAAATGTGATTTGCTAACTTTTCGGCCATTGTTTCATTGTATGATAAACCCTGTCCGATAACATCACGAGCTTCAGTTTCGTGGAGTAAGGAGAACCAAAAGTCATACTTCGAAAGAGGAATTTGAACCTCCTTGCACAATGTTAGTAGATTATCACAGTGCCGGTCAAGTTGCCCCAATCTTGCCAAGCAGCCTGCCAAGAAAGGAAAAACCTCCTGCACTTTACGTCGATGCGTGGAGGTACGAGGGAACTGTTCTTCTAAGTTACCAACTCTTTTTACTACGTTGTTTGCCACGCTTTCTGCTGAAAAGTATTCCATTTGAGTTCGATGGAAGAACGAGTACAAGTCGTCTTTTTTACTAGCCTTTGCAGATTTTTGGATGATATCATAAACTAGAAAAGCTGACAGAATTTCTCCTGGCTCCAGTTTTGCTTGGACGCATCTATCTTTAACTTCTGCCACGTTGTCTGGCGTCAGTAGCAGTTCGTTGCTGTGATCTTCCACAAGCTGTTTGAACGCTACTCGTTTTAATGCCTGCAATACTTCATCGAGTTCTTCGTCATTGCTGTATCCTGTTTTTAGATGGACTCTGATTTTGATGAGTTTCTCTTTGAGCATCTCGAAGAGTTGGAAATAAAGTTGAGTTGCCGTGTTGATAGCCTCCATCACACTTGGATTATTTCTCTTCTCCAACCAGAGGAATATAAGTAGAGCCATGGTAAGAGGTAGCTTCAAATGCGTTGACAGAGTAGATGCTTTTCTAGCAATGAATGAATTAAATTCCTTCACTCGCTCAAGCGCTAGTTTCGGATCTTTTTCCACCAGGTTCATTACTTTGCTAGCAAACACTTTACGCTCTGACGGCCCGAAGCCTTCGAGAACCAGAGGCGCGCTTGTAGTCGAGTTGAAAATTTTCGAGCAGTCATCTTGGAATTCTGGTCGAGTGGTGATGATCACGCGGCTCTTCGGGAGATACGATGCGATGTCCGAGACGAGTTTCTCGCCATTATCTTCGTTTTTCTCATCATACCCATCAATGATGAACAGCAAGTTTAGGGAATTGAGCAAGTAGAAAACAAGATCCTTGTCAACATATACCATCTGGTCGACCAAATATTCCTTTCTGAGGAAATCTAAGAATTTTTTGCTTTTGGTTTTCTTCATTTCTATGTAGACAACAAGGTCAAACATATCGATGAGCTCAATTGTAGTCTGTTTCTTCGCTTTGTTCCTCCACTCTTCGAAAATGATGTGGCATAGCGTACTCTTGCCACTACCACCCAGTCCTGAAATAATCACAACTTTCGGTACTTTGCCTTGCGTGTTCAAACATTCCAAAATACTCCTGTGATCGATCCTTCCCTTGTTCTCATCTACTATCAACGGCGCAGTGAATACATCGACGATGGGATGTTCAGTTCCATAGTCCAAGTTGTGTTGATGGACCAATTTGACGAAGGGATCAACAGCTCTGCCAAACTGGCACTCTTTCTGCAGATGGTATTGACTTTCCTGAATGAATTTGTTCTCTATTTTTTCGAAAAATGTTGCTTTCTCTTTCAAATAGACATCAATTTTTATTGGTTCATTCTTTACGCTCTTCATACTATCTATAATATCAATTCGAGCTTTAGCAATATTCATTGAACTTAGATCTTTTTCTGCGCTGTCCATCAATTCATTACAGAGCTTTTCCAAGTCATCCATGATCTCGTCTTCGGATCGTGGGTCACCACCGTTGTGAGAAACTAAATTTCGTCTCTTCTTGAGCTCTTCTAACAAATTTTTCGTAGCTACTGAGAACATTTTGTCATACACGTTGCTACAAAATTTGACGATACCTGCGTAGTAGAAGGAAATGTCTAGCTTCTCATTTTTAATATTCGGGATAATAAATTGCCCGTTATCTTGTCCAAAAATGTTTTTCGGTTTCATCTTCGTCTTAGACCCCACCATGACTTTAGCGAAACAGTCATTAATACTCAGCATCCCACCATCAGATTTCATGTCTGGGTGGCTGTACACTTCATCGAAGATTTCCTTGAAGAGACGCGTAGCGGGACCCGTGATGAACATAAACACTCGGGCGCTCTTGAGGAGGTCGTCCATTTCGGTGGATGCGGCCGCCATTTTGCCGCATGCGGCCGCCATTCTGGCGAAAGCTGCTGCGGCAGTTGCAATTTCAAAGGGACCTGTAAATCAGAGGGCCATAATTCCAAAACTTGCTAAGTGAACGTAAGTACTTACGCTCTATTTTCTTGTCTATGATTGGTGGATTTTGCTTGAAATGCCGTCAAAGATTGGCTGATGAACTTACGATCTCTTAACTTTTTTTGAAAGTATAGGCCCTGGGCCATCATTAGGATTCAAGGACAGAGAAAGGGGCTTCACACCCTAAGATTTATGATCATATTTTAATTAATAAAGACTGGTTGTATGATTAGTTATTTGAACTCACATTCAGGCCACATTATACTGAATTTGTCGAAATTTTTTTGAAGAAATATATTGAGTAATTAAGGAACCTGTGAATCAGAGGCGATTTTACTAGGAGGGTTCAAGGACAATGGGGGGGGGGGGGGGCTTCACACTGTAAGATTTATGATCATATTTAAGTTAATAAAGACTGGTTATATGATTACTTGTATGAACTCACATTGAGGCCACATTATACTGAATTTTTCGATTTTATATATATTTAATAAATTAACATAAAAATACACACTGGGGCTAAAGAATATTCTAGGGAGGGCTAAAGCCCCCTTAAAATAATTACGTCACTGCTACAAATGCTCAATATCAGTGGTCCAGGCCACAAAAAAACATAGCCAGCTGTGAAAACGATAATTTATATATATATAATAATTATATCAAAATATATTGGGCATAAAACAGAATAAGAATTAGATCAGAAAAAATAATTCTGTTTGGTTAATAAATTTACCTGCTACTCCTTAATTGATGTGTTGTTGTGACGATTCATGAGTACTTTTTATACGTCCTCATCCAATTCCCAACCTTATTACCAGTTCCTTAATTGTTGCAACTCTGTTTAGCGTATTTTTCATAACCTGATCCTGCGTCCTGAATTTCAATCCTCTCAGATTCCTATACATGACTTTTCTCATTATCATAAATTTATTTTATACAAAGTAGAAGTTGCTTCTAGCCGAGTTCGTTTTATTCTTGGATCTCACTGTGTAAAGTATTCAATATTTCCAATCTGTTTACAAATTTCCTCCTTCAAAATTGTAATTTACCTAACCAACTACAAATGATTCTTCAAAATTAAATTTTTTTTTATGAACATATTTCCGTTGGGAACGCCGTTAACCTTGACAGTGATCAGTGGGGACTTATACAGAAGACCTAACTAACACTCACAATGTGCCAATTCCACACAGAAAAGAGCAACACATCAAATGCACTTGCACGGGCTACAACTTCATTAATTACTAAGTTATCAATTACCGCATCGTTTTATAATTGAATCTTTATCTTTGGCATGGGATCATACTTCTAACTTCCTTCATGGGATCATCAAAAACTTCATTCTAACATTTCTTTATCTCAAACGTACGTTATCGCTTGTTTCACCTGGCCGCTTTCAAAAAAAGTTAAGAGATCGTAAGTTCATCCGCCAATCATTGACGGCCTTTCAAGCAAAATCTGCCAATCATAGACAAGAAAATAGAGCGTAAGTACTTACGTTCACTTAGCGAGTTTTGAATGTATGGCCCCTGCAAGTTAGGCTGACGTCTTCGTGTCGCACCTTCACTTGGTGATTCTGCAACAAATAAAATAACAATAAATATATTGTGCTCAAAAATATTCCATACGGCATTGGTCTGCTTATATTACTGGTAATGGATGACTCGTGAATAACTGATTGAAGAATATAACTAGATGCATATTTCATCGGAGGGACAGAAGACGAACCTAGAGTAAAACTTTATAAACTTAAGTAAAAACTTATAAACTAACCGTATTTCATTTAATTCATCACAAATCACGTCGAACTAAACTATTGATGACTATAAGTTGAGCTACAAGCAGACCTAAGAACTCGTAGTAAATCTAGAAACAATTAGAAGTGAGTATTTAATAAGATAGAATCTACCACTCTTCAAGTGGAAATCTGATTCATTATGAATTAGTTTGTCATAACAAACGTTTTTACAATATTGCCAACAGAACGTGTAATGTAACATTATAGCATTGAATTTTGGAATTAACTTGTGCAAAGGTTAAACTAAGTGTTGAGACCTACACTCGCTCTGTATGTCCACTCGCTTCGCGCCGTATAATGTCCAATGTATTAAACATCTTCTTTCAAATACAAAAAAAATCCTGATGAGTGATCAAGTCACGTGTTGAATTTTATTTATCGCGTCTTCTAATCACCAATCTTCCTATTAAAACTGCATTAATTTAAGATCATAACAATTCCATTATTTCCCGTTCAATCATGGACATGTAGCGGAGCAAGGTCACGTGTATGTAAAGGAGATCAGTGGTTAATATATTCATATTATTTTAATGTTACTTCTTCTTATTTTTGACCCCGACTGTAGAAGTTTCATTGGACACCGATTCCACGGCCAAAAATTTGATTTCTGACGTCATCGTACGTTAACTCACTTCGCAAATTATGCTATTGCGCACGCTGAAGCTATCACAAGAGATTTCAAAGCATTTTGCTACGGAAATAAGAGGTGAGCTGGTAATGAGCTTAAAATTTCTTTTGTTTTAAATATTCATTAACACAATAGCAGATATAAAACAATGCAGTACATTGGGAAGATAACAAAAATCGATAAGATAGCTCATGGCAACGGCAAACCGGGCCAAACCCTGTCCTTGGTCCCTGATAGTTTAGGCTACGTGAATGTTGCACACTCGCTCTGCGTCATGACTCATGAACACCAAAATTATGCCAGCATTTCGCAATTTCTCATCAATTTTGTGCACTTATCTCTCACGGTTCACTATCTGTGTTGATCAGGAAATGTAATCGCATTAAAATTAGGTTTAGTTATGGCAATTCGCTTGGCACCGATCAAGAAATGCGAGATTCACACACAAACACACGTACCCCGTCGCAGCCGGACGGCGACTGAGTGATTAGGCTTGCAGTTGCAGAATGCAGCGGCAGTTCCATCGCCAGCTGCAGTTGCATCAGATAACTCATGATAACAGCTGGCTAATACCTATAAGGCTATAAGCCATTGGCTAATATAAGCCAATGTGTATGTGGCATGCATGCTACATTCGTAATGTTGGCATTGACTTAACACCAGCGATACCCAAATGTTCTCAGCCTTTTATACAACTTTTTCACTCATTAACAAGAAAATTTGTCGCGTAAAACTTGTACTAGTAAATGATACTCAAAAGTACGGCCCATGCAGACATTAGTATTAGACTGCACTATCGCTGGTCAGGGTAGCTCTCAAGAAGTTTACAGATGTGCATCAGATTTTATTTACATGTCAATTCATCAACATGCAAAGTAAAAAGTTTATACTGAGCGCTTGTTTGTTGGACAGTGTAGGGAATTTAGGGAAAAACAGTCCCGCTGTAGGGAATTTTTGTCCACCAACATAAGATAAGATTTAAACAATATGGATAAATTTAGTCAGGCTTTCTCTGTGCTCGTCAGAAGTCCTATGGGATTTCGCGCTCCTAGGGATTGTTCCTGAGCGCCCCACCGCTGAGCTCGCGGTGTCTGACCGTTGGTCTCAGTTGTGGGGTTAAGATATTATATAGGTAGGATTCCTTACATTAAGTTATTTTGTAGGTAGGATTCCTTACATTTCCCTTCTCTGTCTCTCTCGTGCGGGCGGCCGACGTCCCGTGTAAGCGACCTCTTGTTCGAGTGTCTACGTTTCTGTTGCTTTTCACCTGTCCCTCCTTGTCACTTCGTCTCTTTGAGATGCTAATGCTGCTTCTTTAGAGCCAGCTTCAGCGGGCTGGACATCTGAGACCTTCCGCCTCTTGTGGGTGATGAATAATTGAGACCTTCCACCTCTATGGTGATATTCATCGTGACTTTCGGTGCGAGATAGCTAAATAGCTGAAGCGCTAGTAAACATTTGGCCACTAAACTAACTAACTAACTAACTAGTCAGGCTTTCTTTATTCAACAGTGAATTAAGAGTCCTTGTTAATGATTATTGTATTGATGTATGGAGCGAGGGTAATAATTTGTATAGCAAATTAAATAGAGAAATTTCGACACATCAGTTCAGTTCCTGCAGCATTCGAGGCGCACGGAGGCTTATGGTTGAACTATATACGCTTTACCCACGAGGATTTCCGTCTTTCAGTTCAGCTTTCTTGTCACGTCAGTGAGATCGAGAAACATAAACAATCCCGTCATTCCCATGACGGATTGGTTGACTGGTTTGATCGCATTTCGGTGATTGGTTAATGCCCGTGACGTCACTGAGATCAGTGACGTCACAGGCGAAAAAACAGACTACATCAGCAAAAATGAGCTTCTCATGGTTCAACCTTAGCACACAGTGAAAGCAGGTTTGCCCGCGCGGGCAACCTGCTCCAACCTGCCACAAGAATGAACATAGGATAATAATGTAAGTGTTCACAGTGAAAACCTGTACGAATAGGCTTCTGTATTCTATGGTTTCAGGCGCCAGCCTGAGCAGGTAACCAGCACGCTGGCAACCTGCTTTCACTGTGTGCGTACCCTTATATACTACACTGTAGTTCATCCATGCAGAGGCCGGTTTGAGTTAGAGAGGCGCCCGTATAGTGGACCCCATATAAGAGAGACAATGCCGAGTTATAATTCATCAATGTCTTGTAAAAGTCAATCGTACAGCAACTTGATTATCAAGTTTTCAAGGCAACAGTACTCATTTAGTTGATGCGAATGTTAAACTTGTTCTAGTAAAAATAGGTGCACATGTAGCGCTCTCAGATGTGCAGTTACGCAGATGAATGAAAGGATTTAAAGATTATAAATGTCAAGTTGTAAGTTCAAAATCTCCAGGATTAGTTGAACGCCATGGTACACAGATTAAAAATTAGACAAGTTTGATGCCACTTTTTCCCATCAATACAAGTTGCCTTATGAGGTAAATGCATTAGCAAAGTTGTGGCTATAAATTCAAATAAATATTGGCCAGAGTAAGTCCGTAACCCAAAGTCAGTAAACATTTAGTTGCACTTTGATTAAGGGGGCTTGACACAATGTAGATATGATGGTTAACCAACAGGCACTACTAAACTTAAAAGATCAACACAAGATCAAATGCAAGACCATAGTAAAGTTTACCCGGAAAACAGAAAATTTAAATTGGCGACGTAAGATGATATGAACTTGCCACGAGTGAATTGACCATTAGTTTCCAAACTGCACATTGACTGTTCTTCATCCAATAACGTTCTCCTGAATTATTATCAACTTGCATGATTGACTGAAGGTATATAAAAAACCGGAAAAGTGAGAGGTAAATACGATGATTATAACTGAATGCTCATTTATTCATTTAAACGCCTCCTAAATCGAGAGCCGAATAAGGCAATGGCACTCTGTCACCTAAAGATAAACCATAATCTTTTGTTAAACTTATTAACTCGCCTGCTCTGATACTTAAACTTTCAGAAAATGGTATGATGCCTGGAACTATATCTGTTATAATTATATCATTTTCATTTTCTTTTATGTAAGATCTAGTTAAGGCAGAAACTAATTCACCTAAATTAACTGATGAGAAGGCACTACTTCCAATAACATCCTCTAATATTTTATAACCTGATTCTTGTTTTAATTAATAAGGCAATGCCACCACCGGACTCGCCTCCTGAGCTTCAGCACACTTGGCAGTAATCAATTCGAAATAAAAGTCCCAGCAACGCAAACATGAATATTCGCTCTGAATTAGGAACGTGAAAGATTAGACTTTGATATATTAAGCGGAACGCCCTGTTTATAGGTACGGGCGACAATACATCGGTAGGTACACATTATGCGCTAAGCTTGGATGACATCACTCACATCAGTCTAGCATAGTTGAAATCTACACATCAGAAAAGACTTCCAATTTTTATGTAGTTCTTATAAGCACGAGCGAGGTTCTACCCTCCAATGGAGGAACAAGGCATCTTGAAAAGCATAACACTGCGCGTTAGTATCGCTACTTACCTCCATAAATGCAGATCCCGCGAGTTAGGTGCTAAGGTGAGCTGGTCCCTCGATCTCTGTGCGCCGTGGTATCGGTACTTCATGCATGCTTATGGAGACGTCCTTCGAGGTCCCTCCAACGTCCCCGAGAGGTAGAATCATTACGATCAATGCTTCAGCGAGTCCTTCGAGATCGGTCCACGTCCTCGAGAGGTAGAATTCACTACGCCCAATGCCACAGCGATGGTTCCAATTTGTGGTCCGCCGTGGCCCCTTCCGTACTTAGAGGATAGCCGCTGCCAACCCTCGATTGCTCCACAGGTCTTTACTGACTCATAGAGACGAACGAGTTCCCACGCTAATAGGTTGGTGCAAGGCATCCTGATGTCGACAAGGGGCGAAGAAGTCAAGATGACCGTTTCCCGCGTACTACCTTGGTTAACGTTAATAAGTGACTGAGGCTTGGAAACGGAACTGCGGGATAGTGCAGGGAGGATTGTTCTGACGAGTCATTATAAAAGATATACGGATGGTTCAGCGGCAAAACTGCTGCGCGTGACACACGACTGATCAAGGATAATTTATGGCTTTAGTTAATAATGAAATTTCGTTAGAATTGTTAAATTGGAAGTCCCGTTAGAAATGCTCAAGTAATTACTGAACTAAGAACAATTGCTAGGTAAAGGTTGGATAATACCTTCAGTTTTTAACAGAAGGCAATGAAAAAAGTGTTGTTGCAATGCAGGCACCTTCTCGTCTCTATTACAGGACCGCTTCTGAAGGTGTCACAGTTACAGCATTGATACATTTGAGGTTAACGGAGAATATTATTTTATTTACTATCATCGCATTGTTCTTTCAAGATTTTTTTTCATAACAGCATTGATACATTTGAGGTTAACGGAGAATAATATTGACTATCATCGCATTGTTCTTGCAATAAGGACACGTTTTTTGAACTTTTAGTCATTCATCTATGTCTGTTATATTAAAAAATAAGTTGCAATTCTTCCATTTTTGTGTGCAATTACACTCAAGAGATGGGAGACATTTTCAAAATAGATATCAAGTTCTGATATATTGACGTTAAAATTTTTGTAGTTGACGTACATTGGCTAGGACGGTTTTTCCCTCGCTTTCGCTCACACATCAGTAGGTTTTTTAAGCCCTGTGGCATGTTGGCCACATTCTCCCACTAATAGAACAGAAGTGTCGGCACTGAAGAAATAGGCCCATGGCCTGTTGCCTTATGCTCCTGCATAGCTTCGTCTGGACTTATTGCCTGGTCCGTAATTTGCTAGGCATTTTAAGACTGAACATATGCTCCTGTAAGGTTCTAAGAACAAATTACTCTGATCAGCATGACCTGTTATCCTCGTGGCCGCGTTAAAAGCAGCCATTTTAGTGACCTAATTCAACAGGGATCTCTATTTATATCTTTAACGAAATATTTATTGAAAGCTGTTGAATAAAATAAATAGGAAACACGAGGAAGCTAGAAGAACCCATTGTCATCAATCGATTTGTGTCATATTTCGATTTTTTTATGTATAATAGATTATTAAACTTCGATGCGGCATCCTTACTTCAAAAGTCCAGGTTGACTTTCGAAAATTCAACATTAAAATCAAAATTACGCTGAAATTCACATTTTCAATTAGCTATGCGTCAACTCTACGAATTGTTTGCTTGTCAAATCATATGAAGGGATTCACGTGGTAAATATACACAAAAAAAATCGTAGTCGGGTAGCGAATTTCTCATTAAGGTGTTTTTCGTTCCACTGCACTGCCAAACTTGTCGCAACAATTAATGAACTAATCTACTTTCATATGCTTAATGTTGAACTTTATGTATAGGCAAACTTCGGGATCCGGGTACATTTATGTATAATTATTGTCAATTTTACGAAAGGGAAATAAATCGAGGGTTTAACAGTTTAGTCGTTTATACCTTAAGTAAATTATCAGGCGATTGGAAAATCGGTTACATACATTTAAATAATACTTGGGATAACAGCTCATTGAATGGACGGATTTATCTCTAGGTACCATACCAGAACTAAACTCTAATTATATCCATAGTATTTAACATTAAGATAATTGTTAAAACTCAAAATAATAGATTTTATCCTTAACTTTAAGCTGCAGTCGCATTTGAACCGTAGACAACGTTTGACGTGAACTGAAATCAAATGTAAAAAAATCCTTTTATGAAATCCTTTAAGTAGCGTTGAAATAACGTGGGTTAAACGTTTTTTCTACTAAATAAACTCTTAATCAACGTTATTTCACCGTAATTTGAATGGAAGGGAGCTTTGCGAACGTGCACAAAATATACGAGATTTGTAACGATAATGTAGAGAAGCGTGCCTGTGTCTCAGCTGTCATTGATCATTACGAACAATCATTTAGCAATCCATATTTATATATTAATATTAGGATTTGGAAACTCAAAATTTCGGATGACGAAATTCCGAATTCCACTAAATACGAACAAACATTTAGCATACGGCTACAGTGAACGTGTGTTTGTTGAACAGCTGTGTCCGTATCTTAATTACATTGATGAAACGTGCCTTATTTCTCCCTATATACAACAGTGGCAAATTCATTACAAAAATACAAGAACAAAAACACCGAATCGTCCTAATATATTTTATCTAAAATATCAGCAACTGCAATAAGGTATTTGTTGTTAAAAATACATTTTTGAGCATTTGCGGCAAGTGCATGTGTTTATAATTTGAGTATATTGACATTTATTGTGTTTCTATGAATAAATCTTATCTTTAGAATATTAAAGGGATCATTCGAAAAAATTTGTAGTGCTAATTTCTCAAAAAGCTTCCAAAAGATTAAATTATTATAATTTTATTTATTCAACAAAAAACTCAATTTTACCTCCGACAACTTTCGCTGTCGGTAATCTGAAGTCGAGGCGAGAAGAATATTCTGCTTGGACAACAAGGTGCAAACCAGCGCAGTCGACACCTCAACGAGCGCTGATTTATCCTCTAGACTTAATAACTACTTTACAGGGTCAAACCGTCAACATTAGAGAGAAGAAATAATGGAAGGATTAGTTGCATATTAACGAGTGGAAACATCAACAATAGACGCTACATTCAACCTAGCGTAAGGCACTTAACGTGGGGCCGTTGAGAGGACAAAGCTTGGGGGTTTACTTCACGACTTGTCATTCAAAAGTCAACGTTCGATTGTAGGCAACGTCATTTTGCGGCGAGGACAACGTTATGAGCGACAAATGATTAAGTAGAAATAAGGTTTCAATATAATGAGTTAACGACTTCTACGCAGCAATGTTTTCAAGCAAAGTCGTCTACCATATTGCTTCCATAAGTTGTCGAGTATTGCTTGGAATTTTGGTCATTCCTCCGACTATGTTTTATGGCTTTGGGAGAATCCCCGTACTTGAAGTCAGTGTAGCGTTTTCGATAACGCGGCGACTCGTCGGCAGCGAGGAAATGGGTTACAGGAACTTGATTTGGCTTGCGTGTGGGAGGCTGATTCCTGTACTGAGCGTACGTACGAGAAGGCATTTCACTTCCTGGTGGGGGTCGCAGCAGGGAAAAGCCCCCACCACCGGACGCTGAGTAATGCCTGCGTCGGGGACTTCCATTCACGGGAACTGCGTGTGGACCCGTAGATGTTTGGGGAGGAAGAGGCCGTGGCAGGGAGTTGCTGTACTGGGTGATGACGCTCGGTGACGTCATGTAAATTTGTCCAGAATTCCAAGGGTTGCGATCAGGCCAATCATAGGACACAAGATGGTTTGGATACGCAAGTTTCCGAGCAGCACTAGGCCCCCTAACTCGCCTCACGGGGGGCGGAGGCAGACGGCCATATATGGGGGATAAATGGCCAACGTTTAGACGAGTGGTAAGCTGGTGGCCAACCACATCGGCGGCCATCCTAGCGGCCCTTGGTGTTGATGACAACGGGGCGTTAGGTCCAAGTCTCGACGGCGGACTTCCGTTGCTGGGTTTCAACCGAAGATGCGGTGACGCTGCTGCAGTGGAGGAGAAAGACGAAGTTCGAAGAGCTACAGGAGCCGGGCCAGAAGGCCTCTGGGCTCCTGGAGGTGAAATTGGCGGTGACCCTGGCCCCCCTCATAGCTGCGCTTGAGAGCCCCTCCAGGAGGTAGCACCACCCATGCTCAGGGCGCCCCCGTAGGTGCCCGTGCCGTAGCCGATGCTGCCGTAGAAGTCGCTGGGGGCCCCGGGGCCTGCGGGCGAGTAGTCCCCCTGTGCACCGATAAACGACAGCAATAATAACGGACCAATAAACGATGCGTGCTTAATTCACAACTTGCTCCCTAAGTACAAATGGATAAAAAAGTGTTGAAAAGACATTGTACGCTCCATATGCGCTGTTAAACCATAGATACATAATCACTGCCAAGAGAGTAATGGCAAAATCAACATAGTTATAACTCGTTGACAAATGCAAAGCGTTGTTCTACATAGTTACTGTCAAGACTGACTCGTAACTCACAGCCATGTATCTGTTGATAAGGATACCAAGGCTGACTCATAACGCACAGCCATGGATCTGTTGATAAGGATACCAAGGCTGACTCATAACGCACAGCCATGGATCTGTCTCTTATACACATCTAGATGTGTATAAGAGACAGNCCTCTCACGTACCTTCAAGCCTCTCACGTACCTTCAAGCCTCTCACGTACCTTCAAGCCTCTCACGTACCTTCAAGCCTCTCACGTACCTTCAAGCCTCTCACGTACCTTCAAGCCTCTCACGTACCTTCAAGCCTCTCACGTACCTTCAAGCCTCTCACGTACCTTCAAGCCTCTCACGTACCTTCAAGCCTCTCACGTACCTCAAGCCTCTCACGTACCTTTAGGTCCGCGTATCCTGACGGTGAGCTGGCCCGCCCCGGCACCTCGCGTATCACAGATGAAGCGACTCTGGTACGTGGCAAGTACCCCGTGCTCGATACCTGGTCCATACACGCGTACCTGGGTACGGGAGGTGTGATAAGCCAGGTACATGTCGGTCTTCTTGTGGGGTACTAAGGCGCGCTTGGGCACTTCAAGGGCACCAAGGGCACCTGGGCACTTCAAGGGCACTAAGGCGCGCCTGGGCACTTCAAAGGTACTAAGGGCACCTGGGCACTTCAAGGGCACTAAGGCGCACCTGGACACTTCAAAGGTACTAAGGGCACCTGGGCACTTCAAAGGTACTAAGGCGCACCTGGGCACTTCAAAGGTACTAAGGGGCACCTGGGCACTTCAAAGGTACTAAGGCGCACCTGGACACTTCAAAGGTACTAAGGGCACCTGGGCACTTCAAGGGCACTAAGGCGCACCTGGACACTTCAAAGGTACTAAGGGCACCTGGGCACTTCAAAGGTACTAAGGCGCACCTGGGCACTTCAAGGGCACAAAGGCGCACCTGGGCACTTCAAGGGCACTAAGGCGCACCAGGCGTAAACGTACGACAAGGCGCGTGTGTCTGGAGGGAGAGGGTTGCTTACATTTGCCCGGAGGAGGGAAATGAAGGAGGGAAATGGAGAAGGGAAATGGAATAGGAAAATGGAGGAGGGTTGCATAACTCCATGGAGCAGCAGAGGGCTGCATGCCCCTACATGGAGCAGGGTTGCATAACTCCATGGAGCATCAGAGGACTGCATGCCCCTACAAGGAGCCCCACCTTGGAGGGGTCGGGCGCCCCCGCCACTTTGATGAGGTACGGAGACCCTGGCACGTGTTCGCCCTCATACATCATCGTCAGCTGGTGACGACCTGCCTCCTGTAACAACCAATTGAGCTTAATTAGCATCAATTGAGCTTAATTAGCATGAGTAATTAGTTTAATTATAGTTAATACTTAGAAGCTAATTAGCATTATTAGCATGGGCAATTAGTATTAAGCTTAATTTGCACGAGTGATTAGTGTTATAGGAGCTACTAATTAAAAGCTAATTAGCAATATTAGCATGAGTGACTAGAGTAGAGTAGTTAATATTTAGAAGCTAATTAGTATTACTTGGTCTATTTCTATTATTTTTTATTTGGCCTAGCCATGGGCCTATTTCTATTATTTGGCCTAGACATGGGCCTATTTCTTCAGTGCCGACACTTCTACTCTATTCTATTAGCACGAGTAATTAGTGTAGTAGTAGCTACTAATTACAAGCTAATTAGCATTATTAGCACGAATGATTAGTATTAAGCTTAATTGCACGAGTGATTAGTTTAGTAGTAGCTAATAATTAGAAGCTAATTAGCCTTATTAGCACGAGGCCTCGACAGCCTCGGATGATAGCGAGAGTGCTGAATTGTTGACACGAATTCTGTCGAGAAGAGTCCGTTGCTGTGTAGGTCACCATCATCACCACTACTAACTGCATCACCACCATCACCATGCACCTGAGGCCTGATATTAAGGATGAAGGTACCATCATCACCACTACTAACTGCATCACCACCATCACCACGCACCTGAGGCCTGATATTAAGGATGAAGGTACCATTATCACCACTACTAACTGCATCACCACCATCACCACGCACCTGAGGCCTGATATTAGGGGTGAAGGTGCCACCATCACCACTACCAACTGCATCACCACCACCACGCACCTGAGGCCTGATATTAAGGGTGAACGTCCCGTCTCTGTGATCGTAAAGTTCACAGACCGCCATCTTGGTCGGGCCGGTGCAGCGAGCGGTCAGCTCTCCAGGGCCCGCACGCCTGACAACGAAGGGAATATTAAATGTGAATCTTTTAATAATAATATATTATTTATTGTTAAAATAGAATAATTAATATACTATTTAGTAATTAATATTTATAGGAGTCAGTTTTTAAAATATTTATTTCACTTCAATGCAGCCTGAGTCTCTTCCATGAGTCGCAAGCAAAGATATTAATTTAAGATAAAAAAACGTTACACGAAAAATTTTTTACGCGTAAAATATGGAAATTTACTTCACGTACCGTGGACTGTGACGTACCGTGTACCGTGACGTACCGTGGACTGTGACGTACCGTGTACTGACTTACCGTGTACCGTTACGTACCGTGTACTGACGTACCGTGTACCGTTACGTACCGTGTACTGACGTACCGTGGACTGTGACGTACCGTGGACTGTGACGTACCGTGGACTGTGACGTACCGTGTACCGTGACGTACCGTGTACTGTAACGTAACGTGTACCGTGACGTACCGTGTACCGTGACGTACCGTGGACCATGACGTACCGTGGACTGTGACGTACCGTGTACTGACGTACCGTGTACTGACGTACCGTGTACTGACGTACCGTGTACTGACGTACCGTGTACTGACGTACCGTGTACTAATCGTACCGTGTACTAACGTACCGTGTACCGTGACGTACCGTGGACCGTGACGTACCGTGGACTGTGACGTACCGTGTACTAACGTACCGTGTACTATCGTACCGTGTACTAACGTACCGTGTACCGTGACGTACCGTGGACCGTGACGTACCGTGGACTGTGACGTACCGTGTACTAACGTACCGTGTACTAACGTACCGTGTACTAACGTACCGTGTACCGTGACGTACCGTGGACTGTGACGTACCGTGTACCGTGGACTGTGACGTACCGTGGACTGTGACGTACCGTGTACTGACGTACCGTGGACCGTGACGTACCGTGGACACTGGACTGTGACGTACCGTGTACCGTGACGTACCGTGTGTCAATGAAGGACTTGATGTCGTGTCCCACCATGCCGTGCCTGAGGCCGTCACCGGAGCACACCACACGACTCGCGTCTGCCGAGCCTTCCACTTGCACCTGTTATATATATTCAGTTCAACTATAATAAATATTGAATATTTATATTCAATTTGACTAAAATCGATATTGAATATTTATATTCAGCTCGACTATAATAAATATCGTATATATAGGTACCGGTATATTTCAGTTCGACTATAATGTATAGTGAATGTATATATTCATTTAGACTATGAAATTTATTATTTATCTACATATATTTAGTTCGATTATAATATATATTGAATATATATATACAGTTCGACTATTATATGTACTATTGAATTTATATATATTCAATCTGACTAAAATCTATATCGAATAAATATATTCAGTTCGACTATAATATTTATTGAATAAATATATTCAGTTCGACTATAATATATAGTGAATATATATATTAAATTCGACTATAATCCCTTCAACACAAAAACCTCATAAGTGTGCGTGTATATTAGTTGATTTTAAATACAATTGAATCATAAATTAGATAACGGCAACCGGAAAGTTTTTTTTTTTTTTCTCAAACAACCATGTTGACATCACTAAGTTATTTTTGGTCGAATTCAACTTGTAGTCAAATTCGTGAGGATTTCTGTGGCATATGTCAGATTATCGGGTGAAAAAAAAATGATAAAAATTGTCAATTCCTAAAAATGCTGAGTTTAATAATATATCACAGCAAAGGAAAGTGTAAACGTCAATCCATTTAAAGTCCCATTTTAATCTTTGAAAGTGCAATTTCAGCCATTGTTTCAGCCTCATTTTAACCAGAAAAAGTGATAATTTTGACTCCCGGGAGTATCAATATCATAGTTTCAAGCCTATTTGCAATGAAAAAATATAAGTAAAATTAAAGGAATAAACTAAAGCTCCGGCTAAAATAGAATATTTTTCGGGAAAAAAGCAAGCACTTCAGAGGGGAAAAAGCATTGTAAAATTAAAGTAAAGTAAAAAAAAAAAGGAAAATTGAAGGAATAAACTGAAGCTCCAGCTGAAATGTACTATTTTTCGGGAAAAAAGCAAGCACTTCAAAAGTAAAATCCTCGACACCTGAAAAAGTTTAACGACGCTCACCTTAAGGGGACATCCGCGCACTTGTCGGTCCGACCACATGACGTTGAGGAGGTAAGTGCCCGGCAGACGCGGCGTGTACGTCGCTCGCCAAATGCCACCACCCTCAGATTTGACGTCCACGGCAACGTCGGCTTTGTTGCCCGCCATATTAACGTCTGGAGCGCCCGGACCCGCGTTAGACCCGTCGATGATGAACTCAGTGGGCTCCCCACATCGCGCGGATGTGAGCCCGTGACCCTTGAGAGTAACCCGCGTGTGATCGCTGCCTGCGATGGCGGGGGCGTGGGCTGTCACGGGAGACTCCGGCAAGGGGAGGTCGTTGTACAAGAGGTTCACTTTGTAGTTCCCAGGCGCGGGAGGAAGTAAGGAAACCTTCGCGCGGTTGCCGATCTGCTCAACGTTGCAGTCGATTTCCTTGGCCTCGCTGCCTTCCGAAACCAAGTAGGCTTTCAGTCGGCCTGGTCCGGCGTCTGAGATGTCGAACGCGAGGCGAGTTTCTTGCTTAGGAATGAGCTGAAGACGATCTTCCGAGTCCCGAAGATCGGTCCATCCTCCTATTAGACGCACACGGCTGGGGTCGATAATCTTCGGGTGATATGGACTACCAGCGACTTCCCGGTTATTCCACTGCACCCGCACGTCGAAAATACCAACTTCATGAGGTACGTACGTCACTTGGAAGACTCCATTCTCCACTTTTTTAATGCTAACTCGAGCGACGCTGTCGGGACCGTCCACCCACACTTGCGGTTCACCCATCAAACCGCGGCCATCGATCATAAAATGCTGGGGGTTGTCGACGCAGCCTCGCATCAGACCGGGACCGCTAACGCTGGCTAGGCCGATCTCCCCAACATCGACTGTGAGTGGGGAGCCCGGGATCTCCTCCCCTCCATACAAGAGAGTGATCTTATACTGACCAGGATCTTGCGGCTCCCACTCCAGGATCTTGCCCCCATCTTGTGCCACGGTTATTTCGACGTTATCGCGTTTGCCTGATGATGACAATACGAAAGCCTCTATATCACCAGCTCCTGCAGCGCTCGTGTCGAGCTTCACCTTGCACGTATCTCCGACCGCCACTGACGTTCTGCTCTTCTCCATGATGACCTTAGAAGCATCGTACGCAGAGCACGTGAACGGTGAGCCTTGCACGTGAGTGCCTGAGCAGAGCACATCAATCCTGTACTGGCCAGGAGCATTTAGCGTGTACTCTGCCAGGAGGTTGCCATCCTTCTGCTTGTAACACTTGACAGGCACGGCCCAGTTCCTCGGACCGGTTACGAGGACATCGAAATCTTTGGTATCTTGCTTCATCGTCTCAATAACAAACGCGGTCAATTTATTGACCCTGGCTTGATAAAGACCAAGCCCCGTTGCTGTCATGAAGTTACCGGAGGCAGGGTTCTTAACAGGGATGTCGAACGCGTTGGGTCTTATTGGGATGCCATTGTAGCGAACGTCGACCTTATGAGGCACGGGAGCAATCGGGTAGAACAACACTTGGTACATTCCTGCCCCGAGGTCCCTAATGGAGTGTTTGACGTCTTGTCCAGCGGCGCGGACACCGACAGACAGCGCCCCACGTCCGGCGTCTGCCGCATTAACTCTAATGCCACATTCAGATCCAGCCACACATTCATTGACCACCTCAACAGCCACTAGGCGAGGGTCGGACGCCTCAACCACGAAGGGTGAAGTGGCGATTGGTGATCCGTGATGCAAGATCGTGACAGAGTAAGGACCGACTTTCTCCGGCTTGTACTCGGCGCGGTGGAGGCCGTTCTTAAGGCGGACGAGGGACGAAGGAACTTCCAAACCATCTGGTCCATCTACTCGGATATCCAGGTCTCCTTCCAGGCCTTTAGTGTCGACCGTGAACGATGCAAAGCTGCCAGTGACGATCTTCTTTAATCCTTCGCCCTTAGCAGTCACCATCTGACTCTCCTTACGATGAATGCTTCGCACTTCCCGAGGCTCCAGTTCCCGGACATCGCATTTGAAGGGAGACCCGATCACGTCCTCTTCGTTGAAGGTGATGTTCACGAAGTGGGGAATGGCCTCGTGGGGAGTGAAGGTCACGTCGTAAAGTCCTCGGGATTTGGCGGCGACTTCAGCGCGGACGGAGGCCTTGGCGGTGGTGACGACGAGCTCCAGGGTACCTTCCCCTGCCTGCGACGCGTCTACCGTGAACGTCACGGGGCGGTTCACCTAAAACGAGGGCACCACAGTGAACAAACTAAACAAATTAACAGCAGATCTTGTCGAAGACGAGGTATACACAGTGAGAAAACGAACTAAATTAAACAGATTATTCTGGTCGGAGACGAGGTCACCACAGTGAACAAACGAAACAAATTAACAGCAGTTCTTGTCAAAGACGAAGTTAGTACAGTGTGAAAACGAACTAAATTAAAACAGATTATTCTGGTCGGAGGCGAGGTCACCACAGTGAACAAACCGACAAAATTAAAACTATAATATTCTTGTAAGAGACGATCATACCACCGGGAGCGAGCAAATATCAAAAGGGAATGGAAAATATCGCCCTGAACTGTTCTCTTCGTCTAGGACAGTTTAATTCAGGAAAGTTCTCGAGCGTAATTGGCTTAGACTTCGAAGATTTGAGCTTGGCATGGAATGGCATAATTGAAATAAGAGCAAAATGATAGTAAAGTTGTACACTAATGTATCACGAAATGTTTATGTGCAAGGCTCACCTTGGTGTTGTCGAGGCCGGTGACCTGGACTCTGGTGACATCGTAGATGTTGCAGGTGAAGGGTGACCCCGAGACAGGCTCCCCGTCCAGCAGCACACTGACCGTGTGTGGCCCCACCTCGGTGGGCTGGAACTCTGCCGTTACTTTCTTGGGGAATTCGCCGATGAGGTGCACAGGGACTTTAACCCCAGATGGGGAGGTAACGTGGACCAAACACTCCCCGATGTCGGCGCCCCGAGGGTCGATGGTGAAGGAGGCGGGACGAGCAAGGGACGACATCTTGATGCCGGGGCCTGACACGAGCACCTGTGAGCTGTCCGTCACGCGGCACTTGAACGGCGAACCTGAAGCCGGTGTGTTCAAGAAAATCTTTTTACTTTAATATTTATACAAAATATCACATACCGCCCAATTCATTCACTTTAGAAAACTGCGAATATCACTCTTAATGATACAAAATAATGCTTCAGAGATACAAATATAGGTAGCGTTTCTTCGGGGTTGAAAACACTGCTAATAAAAATATCCTTCGCCAGCCGACCATCAGGACAGTTCCCGATCCATGGGCCTATTTCTTCAACGCCGACACTTCTATTCTATTCTATCACTGGGGACATTAGTCGCTCAGTGAGCCCGACTAAACCTCAGACTTCAGAGCAGCTTCTGACCACAGCAAGTGCATGCACTGCGCCACTGACCACGTCTGTCACTGAGCGCCGCCCTGAGTACCCACGCTGATAAGATACCAAGCTTTATCTCTAGTAAGTGCACATCAATTGGCAATACCATGGACACTTCGCACTGTTTTCATCACATACTTAGTAGCAATGTATTCCAAATTATCGCACGTTTTCACTGCAGTGAAAAGCAACGGAACGAAATTATTGTTTCTTCGAACGAAAATTTTCGATATTCATGTATGAACTATACGAAGAAAGTGAAATTAATTTTGATTTCGCACTGCTTCCTGCAATGAGGCGGCGATATCAGGTAGAGAGCTGCAGTTTTGTTAGCGATAAGCGACAAAACTTTACTACGGCGACAATCGGACGGTAGGATACGAGCAACATAGCGGCACTATATCTCTCGTAAGTGGCAACGCTTTACGATGAAAAATGACATAAAATTTACGATGTAAAATGACGTAAATAGCCCATCACGGACTCCGGTTTGTGTTTGAGGCAAGGTTATCATGCCGCTTTCATCACCAATGATCTGCCTATCGTTTATGAATAGGATTGCCTTCTGCCAGGGTCGGGTGTTAAGGTATGAACTTTATTGAGTTGCGGTACATACACCGAAATTTACACTCTTAATGCTGCTTCATAAAAAACTAGCATAAGCAATACCTCATCAAGAATTATCATTGGCTTCGTGGTATTGAATCAGATTCAAGACGGGTAATTGCGTAAATATTTGCATTTGTACATAGAATGCATGTTGAATACTGACACAACATTGAATGGTTTAAGCGCCATAACTGAATTCGATCATACTGCGATTTAATTAGGTCTTCACTACGCAAGTTCCGGCACTGTAAATGATGGTCCGCTACAGACGCGACTAACCTACAGAGAACCATTTAATTCATCAACGGTGAGCATTGAAATGTTAATTTATGCCTGATCGTTCGTTAATGGCTTCTACCTTTAAAAGCATAACAAAGACAACGATCTCCATCTTAAATTAAAAACGTGTAAAGGTAATTGAAACGCTTAATTAATGTAATGGACTCGACACGACTGCCGGGGCCAGCTAGCATGTAGTCTCTTTACGTTCTTTCCAAAAGATTGTATGTATAAATTCAATCGTTCAGAAGTTCGAATTTCAGTTCAAGTTTTGAAAAGATAATTACAGCTTTAAAAAATCATGCAATTTCAAAGAAGTTAAGCTCAACCTTTGGGTCTTAAAATATAAATGAAATCAATTTACTGTGATCAGCGTCGTGGAATTTCACGGCCACAGTGGAACAAACAGGCACAGTCACGTCCTGCTCGCAAGACAGGCAAGACACGACTAACGTTGTGAGTCACAAGGGGACTAACGTTGAGTCTCACAAGTCACAAGTCACAACTTGTGACTTGTGAGTGACCAGTGACCACTGAACAGTGGTTCACAAGTACACGCGCCATCGTGTATGTCGACGGGGAACGTCTTAACTAATAGCATAAGCGACCCATTACGATTTAAATTACGGCCTTGTATTAGTTCTCATACACATTTCTCCATACACTTGACAAAGTTCTTTGTGAATTTCCTTCGCCTATTTCTTCTTGCTTAGCGGCCAGGAAGCGAATAACAGACCTGTTGGGGGACGTACCTGCGACGGGTCTGAAGTACCGAGAACGGGCTCTACATACCGGCAACGGGCCCGACGTACCGGCAACGGGCCCGACGTACCGACAACGGGCCCGACGTACTGGCAACGGGACCGACGTACGTGCAACGGGACCGACGTACGTGCAACGGGCCCGATGTACCGACAACGGGCCCGACGTGCCGGCCGGCAACGGGCCCGACGTACCGGCAACGGGCCCGACGTACCGGCAAAGGGCCTGACGTACCGGCAGAGGGCCAGACGTACCGGCAACGGGCTCGACGTACCAGCAATGAGCCAGACGTACCGGCAACGGGCCCGACGTACCGGCAACGGGCCAGACGTACCGGCAACGGGCCCGACGTACCGGCAACGTGCTCGACGTACCAGCAATGAGCCAGACGTACCGGCAACGGGCCCGACGTACCGGCAAAGGGCCTGACGTACCGGCAACGGGCCCGACGTACCTGCGACGGGCTCGCCGTTGAACTTGACGCTGAGCGTATGCAGGGCTGCCTCCTTGGGCTTGAAGTTGACCCTGAAGCGCGCGTGCCCCTCAGACTGCACGTAGTTGGGCACGTTGCGGTTGTTCACTGACACGATGATCTCCAGGTTGCCTGCTCCAGCCTGCGATGCGTCGACTGCCAACACAACACATGTGTAGGTACACACGTGGAGTGTACGTGACACAACACACGTGTACGTCAGCACACACGTGGAGTGTACGTGACACAACACACGTGTACGTCAACACATACGTATACGTCAACACACGTGTAGGTAAACACGTGCAGTGTACGTGACACAACACACGTGGAGTGTACGTGACACAACACACGTGTAGGTACACACGTGTACGTCAACACACGTGGAGTGTACGTGACAACTTATTATCATAGTCACAATAATACCCGAATACTCATCATAATATTGATCATAATACTCATAATCATAATATCGATACAGTCATTAATAGTTCATTCACTTGATCCACACATTACGTTGGATTACTTCAACATTATTTAATTAAGACGATTAGGCTGCGCAGAGAACAATGTCTTTATTATTGTATTTCTGTAGTTTTGTATAAAACTTCATGTATCATTATTAGCACAAAAATTAATTTCGAAATAACGCTGCATTGTTAAAGATAGATAAATTTTGCGGTCAAACTAATGCAAGAGCGAGGAATAAGTGCGCGATTAGTTACCATACGAAAATTGATTAATTAAACTAACTAATTGATGTTCGGCTACTAAATTCAATTCTATTTAGGTCAGTACTAGAGAAGTCTATTCCTGCTAGTTAGCTCATTACTTAGGTCAGTAGTTAGGTCAGTAGATAGGTCATTAGTTAGGTCATTTGTTAGGTCATTAGTTAGGCCTTAGTTAGGTCTTAGACCGACTAGATAAGTGTAAGGGGTGAAGATTTATTTAAGAACTGGACTGACTTGAGAGTGTAAGGAGTGAGGATCTACTTAAGAAGTGGACTGACTTGAGAAGTAGACGGGCTTGCCGACGACGCCGCTGGAGACTTCGGTGACCTTAACCTTGCTGGAGTCGAAGGCCTTGACGAGGAAGGGCGACCCCGGCACCAGCGCCCCCGCCACCCGCACCTCCACCGTGTGGTCCCCTGATGGGGGAGAGGAAGGGGACATGACGGCATCTGCTCCTTAGTGTCCTTAGTATGTGTTTTTAGGACGTAGCATGACGGCATCTGCTCCTTAGTGTCCTTAGTATGTACATATTTAGGACGTAGCAGTCCCAGTCCACGCGGCAGCGTTAGAAGCAGAAGATATCCTACCGGCATGGCCACGACTTCCTAACTTAGCAAGTCACGAGTCCCGGACTGCCATGAACACAACATCCTTAATTTTGCACGATCACTCCCACTCCCCCATTTCTCTCACCCCCACTCCCCCACTTCCCTCACCCCACTCACCCACTTCCCTGGGGGTGTACAACACGTCCAGTTTGCCCGCATGTCCCGGGACCACCTTAGCCTCGACCACCTGGCGGGACGGCGACACAATATGCACGCCCAGCTGGTCAGCGCTGGCCTGAGCGTCCACCGTGAAGGCGGCCACTTTGTCCACCGGTACCTTCTCGAGGCCAGACCCCGCGACGGTCACCCTGGACACGTCCACCACGTCGCACGTGAAGGGAGACCCCGGGACGTTCTCGCCGTTGAAACGCAGCTCGACGACGTGGGGACGTGCCTCCTTAGGGCTGAAGGAGATGGCGTACTCGTGGTTGCCCTGCGCCTGGGCGCTCGTCGGCACCTGGCCGCTGTTGACCGTCACCTCCAGGTTGCCGGGGCCCGCGTTGTTGGTCTCCACTGTATGGATGATGGGGGATTATTGTGGTGCGTGGGGATGATGGGGGATTATTGATGGAGAGGGATTATTGTAAATACTTATGTTCCCGCAGCGTTTATCAACCATTTACTCACGACTGAACAAAATAACGTACAATAAGCATATAATGAAGAAATACTTATGTTCCCGCAGCGTTTATCAACCATTTGCTCTAAATATTTTCTATAAATCATAAGAAAACAACATTGTTCAGATTCTAGCAGCCCCACCCACTCAACCCACCCAAGAAAGTGACGGGTTTGCCGACCATTCCCCGCTCGGTGGGGCGAACTTTAATAGCGTTGACGTCGTACACCTTGCAGCTGAAGGGGGAGCCGGGGATGTTCTCCCCCAGGTAGGAGACATGGATCCTGTGTTCCCCAGCCACCTTGGGGCTGAACTCCACCCTGAACGTCTGGTCCCCCTTGTCCTGAACCTGCGCGCTCACCGGCAGCCCGTTCGGGCCTAAGGACACGGTGGTATTCTTGTTATATATTATTGTTATTATTACTATTATTGTTTCTATTATTATTATTTTTATTCTTATTATTATTATTAATATTATTATTGTTATAGGTATTATTATTAAAATTATTATTATTGTTATATGAATTGATTTTCGTAGCGTCTTGTTTAACCGAACTTTGGAAACACGTTACATATAAGCTTGAAAGCTATTTTTGTTATTATTATTATTATTATTGTTATACGAATAGATTTTCGTAGCGTCTTGTTTAACCGAACTTTGGAAACACGTTACAAATAAGCTTGAAAGCTATTATTATTATTATTATTATCATTATTATTATTATTGTTATACGAATAGATTTTCAGGCGTCTGGATTAACCGAACTTCGCAGGCACTCGCTTTTCTTCGCAGCTTCATAACGAGCGAAACAAAGAAATGAGAAAGATAACGACGGAATAAAATGAGTATTCATAACAAACAAAGGCGAAACGAAAAGTTCCGTTTCGTCTTCGGACCGTTGTTAACGTACCAAACTCATTCTCAGTACAGGCAGGAATAACATTGTAGACACACTACACGTGCTCAGTACAGGCAGGAATAACATTGTAGACACACATATAAATATCGATAACAGTAAATGTTTGAATTAAAATATTAAAAAACGACATATGAGATGCCTTCGGTGATTTTAATTAGCTGCACAATAGAAAAATAACAAAGTTTAATACGGAAGGACAAAAAAAATATGGAAAAATAGTTATAATAATGCTGGAATAATCATCAGGCAGACGAGGAATAATATACTGGGGGACAAGGAATATTCAAATTAGTGTGCTAATTTAACATGTATTTATGCAAACAAATACGATTTAAAATAATTCACCTGTAGCATAAAAAAAATCACTGAAAGGTTCATCGCGTATTTCCCACTGTAAAGGTAAAATATTAAACAGAAACAGAACAAAATATTAAACAGAAACTAAAAATATTAAACAGAAATAAAGAAAAAATAGGACAGGAAAGAAGGATGCAGAAGACCAAATAGTTTACTAAGGAATGTAAACACAGAGACACTTCAATAAATAGTTCCAGACAGCGATACGGAAGTTATAAATTGGTAATTATTTCTTTATAAGGTAATGAAAAATCAGGATAGTTTACTGACAACACGACATTATTCGCAGTAATTCAGTAAAAATTTTGCTAACATGAAAACAATATATATACCTACATATAAATATATTTATATCTTCCGGATATACGTAGTTTTATCATCACTTTTTCGACTGGACTTTCAAGTTGAGAATTACCTTTAAGAAGTTTCGAGGGGTAACTTGACAAGCGCGGAGCTTTGACACATCATCGAGCTCGACGTTGTAGGCTTTCTAGACCTATGTGTTGGAGTGTAGGTGTGAGTGTGAGTGTAGGTGTGAGTGTGTGAACTACTATTGTTTGTGTAGGTAAATGAATCACTAATGTATAAGTCAATTGAATATTCTTATCGACCGCGTGAAGTGTACCATGTTGTGCGTAAGTGTTAGTGTGTTAACTACTATTGTTTGTGTAGGTGAATGAATCACTTGTGTATAAGTCAATTGAATATTCTAATCGACCGCGTGAAGTGTACCATGTTGTACGCGAACATGCGTATATAAGGTCTTTATTAAGTGTGCAGGGTATAAATGTTAATAGCTTTAAGAGGTTAAGTCGACGCGACAGCCTCAGCAAAAGCAATTCGTTTGCCTTGAGTTCGTTTTGGTCAAATGACTTATACGTCGGAGAGGCTGAGCCCTCGTCTCGTCAAGAACACGTAGTCCATTGAACTTTGTTTTAGCTCAAGTTGTCATGGTGGTAGAACTATAAATATTCAACCGCGTCAGGTAAACTTTAGCGTCCTAAAGTATATGGAAATAAGATATTTTATTGCATACGATATTTCGCCTACAACATTTCTAGATTCTCGCGTTTTTTCGGTCACATTGGTTGTCCGTAACTTCAAGTCAGAGATTTTAAGCAAATCCCTTTCAAGTTTGCTCGAAAATTTCAAAGCAAATCATAAAAGAGTACGACACACTAAAAAAAGAGCTGCTAACAATTGCTACGAGCACTTAAACGGAAAATTTCGTAAATAAAGAAAACGCAAGAATAGAAATTATAGAGAATATAAGTAAAGAATGATACGATTTTACTGGCATCAGGAAAAGTAAAAAATATAACTCAGTACTCACTGCAGTGAGTGACAGAGAGCGCATTTTCTCGTCGACGAAAACTTGAGGTCACGGACAGACGGACAGACAGACGGACGGACATGGCGAGCACAATAGTGCATTTTTTCCATAAATGAGAAAATGCGCTAAAAATGGAAATATACGTCGAGGATTCAATAAATTGGAAGAGAACTCGTCGCATGTCAGCACGAATCAGCACACGACATTAATAACAACCGTCAACCAGGAATTTAAAAGTAAAGAAAATAGCCAAAAAGTTCACCATTTCTTATAAGCGAAAACGTTTCGGAGTCCAGCTCCATCGTCAGTTCAAAACCTAGAACACAGGTACAAACAATTGGTAGCCTAAAATTCATATTCAAACAATTCACCTAAACTTGAGGACATTTGCTGAGGAACTTTTTGGCTATTTTCTTTACTTTTAAATTCCTGGTAAATTTGCGACTTAAGCAGCCAATTGATTTTAATACTTGTGACCGTCAAACTGCTATGAAAAAAAAAGAAGAAATCGTCCCTCGCCTCCATGGCTGTGATGGTCCTGTCGAAAAGTCAGTTAGTCAAGGTTAGTCAAGGCGGTAAGCAAAAAATTCAATTAATCAGTTAGTCGAGGCAGGTTAGTCGTTAATTAGTCTTTCTCAATGGCTTAGTCGAGGCAGGTTAGTCGTTAATTAGTCTTTGTTAATGGATTAGTCGAGGCAGGTTAGTCGTTAATTAGTCTTTGTCAATGGCTTAGTCGAGGCAGGTTAGTCATTAGTCTTTGTTAGTCGGTTAGTCAACTCTTATAAGGTACAATAAATCATTGACCTGACCGTAAAAATATCATGTATTCCAAATTATTAGAGATTGTCAATCGCATTCGCATTAGTGGTTATTGTCAGTGATATTAGTGGTTATTGACAATCGCATTAGTGGTTATTGTCAGTGGCATTAGTGGTTATTGTCAATGACATTAGTGGTTATTGTCAATGGCATTAGTGGTTATTGTCAGTGACATTAGTGGTTGGTGTTAATCACATTAATTACCGAGTAGAGTAATCATGGTTCACATAAGTTATGAACGAATAATAATGTAATTATATAAAACGATTGTCATAACTTAATTGTTAAAATATATTTAAAATTAAGCACCGAAACCATCCATTCGAATTCATATTGATAAGTGAAGACCTTAATATAAGTGAATATATAATGCACCAATGTTAATAATAATGTGAATAATAATTAGATGTTGGCTCAACATTTCGGCACTTGCAACATGAATGTGTAGCATTCTTGTACTTATGTTACTTAAGGTATATACGTATTATTAAATGTGCTTATTTTATTATTTAAACAAGGAAGGGCAGATAACTTATAAACTAAAGGTTTAATGGACCTTCATTAATAGAGATGATTTTATTGAGTCAAGCCTCGATATTAAATTATTAAATCAATCTTATTAATTTCAATCAATTCCCCTGGTAGCTTCCAAATGATTACCAAATTCTTAAAGGGGAAAAGTTTATATTTCCAATAATTTTTTGATGATTAATACATTAATAATTAATAGGGTTTTCGACATTTCTAATAATTTGATGATGATTAATACATTAATAATTAATAGGGTTTTCAACATTTCTAATAATTTGATGATTAATACATTAATAATTAATAAGGTTTTCGACTTGGCCTCGTAATGGTTAAAATATCGCAAATTAGAGATTTATCGCTAGATTTGCCGAGATTTAAAAGGCGATAACAGCTCTACGGCAAGGGGATGTTGTCAGACATTCATGTCTGTTATTCATGAAATTCATTTTCATGAATGAGGTTGAAGAACTGATGTGTATAATGTAAAATCCAACACATACTTGTCTAAATTCTAATTCAACTTACGATAAAAAGTAAGCACAACAGCGGTTCATACATGTGTACTGAGCGTGTGTAACATAACTAATATTAAATTAATATTAATTAAATTAATATTAATTAAATTAATATTAATTAAATTAAATTAATAAAATATATAATATTAAACATCACACACAGCATTATAATTATGTGTGTGCTATTTTTGAATAGTAAGAAGAAATAGTGATACTGACATTATTATTATCATTAATATTATTATTATTATTAAGTCCAGGCAGATATTGCCAAACTTACGAGCGCTGAATTCTAGCTTTGATCCATCGTAAAACTTGTGTCGTAAGTTGACCATACATTATTTGGACGGACTTACGATCCTGCTAATATTGCGAGAATCGTATATACTCTTGTACAATGACCACAACCTGTTGGCTGTTTTGCGAGCCCGTTAACTGCACCTCACTGGCCCGTTAGCTGCACCTCACTGGCCCGTTATCGTTAACTGCACCTCACTGGCCCGTTAACTGCACCTCATTGGCCCGTTAACTGCACCTCACCGGCCCGTTAGCTGCACCTCACTGGCCCGTTAACTGCACCTCACCGGCCCGTTAGCAACACCTCGCATTGCAGTGGCAAATGAAACGCTTTTCCTTCCATTCTTTTGAGCGGAATTAAGTCTGATATCCCATGAACTCTTACTTGGAATTTCGCACATGTCACAATAATATAAATAGGATATTGATTACGGTCGTCAAAAAAATCAATTATTAAAAAATAATGGTTATTAAAAACGTGCTCATACGTAGAATTTTGCACATTTCACAATAATATAAATAAGATATTGAGTAGAATCGTTACGCAGTTCAATTATTAAATAAGAATGGCTATCTATAAATACGATATTGAATACAGTCGTCAAAAAAAAATCAATTATCAAAGAAGAATGGCTATCAAAAACGTTTCATGCGCCACCACGTAAGCGTAAAAGCAACAGCTGGGTTAGTTAGACAAGCAGTTCTCTGTTGTATTGACTTGCTGATATTGTACGTGAAATGGACAGTTTGTGCTAGAAGGTTCGCTGAAAGTTGCGTGACAAGCCTGAAATGAAGAGACATGGTTTAATGCGCGTGAATGCTGCTGCATTCATAGATCAATCATTTCTGAAAGACATTATGTAGATTACAATGATGTAGAGCAGTGAATAATGGTAGATAATTCATCATTAAACATTCAATGGTTGCCAGCACATATACTGCAACGGATCCTGGTTGCCTGTGGGATCAGGAATGGGGACTAAATGGGCACGAGTTAGAGTTAGATGAGTTAACAAAAAGCAAATATGTTGCACATCATCGTCCGTTAACAATAATTTGTTGCTCATAATTGTTCATCAATTATAATGTGTTGCACATATTTTTTCATTAATTAGGTGTTGCACATAATTGCCCGTTAATTATTTAATTATCGGAGAGGAAGAAAGTAGGCAAATATTCAGAAAACCTTAATTTAATAGAAAGAATGTAAAGTCTAGTCAATCAAATAAATTTTTGTTTCCAATAAAAAGATGTCCTTATTTCCCATCATAAGATATATTTCATTCGAGTAAAAAATATCTTTCCTTCAATACATAAGAAATATATTATTTTATAACAGACAAGACGTAAGCAAGAAGACTTCACTACAGACCGCTAGAGGTGCTCACTCTCGACGTTGACCTCTAGGTCTTCAACACATAAGACCTCGTCATAAGACCTTAACACATATCTTCAAAACATAAGACATATATTATTTAATAATGACAAGACGTAAGCAAGAAGACCACACTACAGACCCCCAAAGTCCTCACCCTCGACACGTTGACCTCGCGGTCTTCAACAGATATATTTTCATTCAAATAAAAAGATATCTTTCCTTCAAAATATAAGAAATATATACCTTGTATAACAGACAAGAACTATGCAAGAAGACTTCACTACAGACCCCCACAAGTCCTCACCCTCAACGTTGACCTCGAGGTCTTCAACAGACATGTTCTCATTCAAATAAAAAGCTATCTTTCCATCAATACTTAAGACATATATTATTTCATAACAGACAAGACGTATGTAAGAAGACTTCACTACAGACCCCCAAGAAGTCCTCACCCTCGACGTTGACCTCGAGGTCTTCAACAGACCCCGCGACGTTGGCGATGGTGAAGAAGGAAGGCTTCCCCACGGCCGTCGCCGCCAGACTCTGCCCGCTCACCACGATACGGTTGGGGTCTGCCTGTATACCAGAAGGTCCAGACCAGAAGGTCCAGACCAGAAGGTCCAGACCGGAAGGTCCAGACCAGAAGGTCCAGACCAGAAGGTCCAGACCAGAAGATCCAGACCAGAAGGTCCAGACCAGAATGTCCAGCTGGAAGCCACTAACCTTAGCCACGAAGGGGGACCCCGAGACAGGCTCCTTGTTGAAGGAGATGTTGATGACGTGATCGATGGCCTCGAGCGGCACGAACGACACGGCGAACCTGACCAGGGAGACGGGGGTAAGGCAAACACGCCGTAATATATGGCAATATATAATAAAACAATACATAAATATTTAACAATATGTAAATCATACATACATAACAATAAAGAATACATTAACATAAAACAATATATCATACGTAATTACATAATAATTTATAATACATAAATACATAAGAATATATGATACATTAATATAAAACAATGTATAATACGTAATTACATAATAATATATAATACATAAATACAGAACAATATATAATATATAAATATATAACAATGTTCAATACATAAATACATAACAATATATATAATACACACGATGAATATGAAGCCTCAACTTCACCATATAGTATAAAGTTCATAACAATATATATACCGTACCTAATACACACGATGAATATGGAGCTTTAACTTCATCATGTAAAATAAAATGCATACCGGTTATAAACAACAAAGCATCAAGTAATCAAGTATTGAAGTAAAGTTATACAGAGAATATAATGTAGTGACCATCACCTAGCGGAGCCCTGTGGGTGCACTTGTGTGGGGATGTTGCGGCCGTGGCCACTGATGCTGATCTCCAGGTTGCCTTCCCCAGCCTCTGAGGCGTCCACTGCGCGGGGGATGGCAGGTTAGTTATAGTTATCATCATATTTTAATTATTATTAATAATAGTTAGTGTTAGTTTAAGTGGTATTCAGCCAAACGAATAAGATATCCACGCCTCTTGGCAGAAGGTATATGTCGACCCATCGGGCCAATCAAACACTTCACTCACCCATCAGCACAAGTCATATACTACCCACCCTACAACACAACCCACCCACCCTACCAAGACGCACCCACCCTACAACACAACCCACACAACCCACCAAGACCACCCACCTACAACACAACCCACCCACTCCACCAAGACCCCCCAACCCACCTATGAACTGGAGACTCTTGCCGATGGCGCCCCTGGGGAGGAGCGAGACGCCCACTTTGCTGGCATCGTAGACCTTGCACGTGAAGGGCGTGCCTGACACGGCTGAGTCGTTGTAGTTGACGATGATGGTGTGAGCGCCTACCTCGTCAGGGGTGAACTCGGCCGTGAACCCTGCCTTCACCGACCCCGACACCCGCACTGGCAGGGTTGACTGGCTGGGGGCTAAAGGGAAGAGGGGTATAAACGTCTATAGAAAACTCGGCCGTGAACCCTGCCTTCACCGACCCCGACACCCGCACCGGCAGGGTCGACTGGCTGGGGGATATAAGGGGATGAGGGGTTTAAACGTCCATAGAAAACTCGGCCGTGAACCCTGCCTTCACCGACCTCGACACCCGCACCGGCAGGGTCGACTGGCTGGGGGCTATAAGGGGAAGAGGGTTTAAACGTCTATAGAAAACTCGGCCGTGAACCCTGCCTTCACCGACCCCGACACCCGCACTGGCAGGGTCGACTGGCTGGGGGCTGATGGGAAGCGGGGTTTAAACGTCGATAGAAAAGGACAGGGGTTTCTTAACTATCAATTTAGGTTTAATTATATTCTTTGTGAGTTTTACTTAAATAATTTATTTTGCTTGTCTTATAAGATTTGAACTGACGATGGAGCCCGAATCCGAAACGCTTTCTCTCGTATGAAATGGTGAATTTTTTGGCTGGTTTCTTTGCTTATAATTTTTGGAATTGGGAACCCAGATAAGTTCTGAAATTCTTTTCGAGAAATAATTTTCATTTCGTTGTTTGGAATTGGCAAATAGTTATGCGAAAGTAAAAATTTTTTTATGATTAAGATTGATAGTTGAACCAATTTTTTTTGGTATGAATAGGACGAGCATACAAAAATATTTCTACCACTATCAGGCTAGGTACCGATGGCGCACGCAAAGCCTGAACCATCACTTCCATCTCCCTCAACCACGTCACCCACACACCAAATTAAACTCATCCTTGATCACCCAATTAGCAACCATACTATGCACTCAGCGCTTTACTCACTCTCGTCATTTTATGTTTTTCCTCCATCTTTCTGAGCCATTACTTTCTTTTCTAAGCGGCACCGCACACACAGCTATTTCGCTCCGACCAAAGCAATTCATTAATTATTGTCATGTACACAATGACCATGAACTATCACTACCATCACAACGACTAGCAGCACCACAACCTCCCCCCACGACTTCCAGCGAGGCACTGACTGCGTACGGTGAACTATCACCACCATCACAACGACCAGCAGCACCACAACCTCCCCCCACAACTCCCTGCGAGGCACTGACTGCGCACAGTGAACTATCACCACCATCACAACGACTAGCTGCACCACAACCTCCCCCCACGACTTCCAGCGAGGCACTGACTGCACACGGTGAACTATCACCACCATCACAATGACTAGCAGCACCACAACCTCCCCCCACGACTCCCTGCGAGGCACTGACTGCGGACGGTGACGGTGAGCTCTGCTGAGCCACCGCCGTCGACGGCGATGTTGAAGGCGGCGGGGCGGCCGAGGGGCACGAGCTCGAGGTGGCGGAGCGTGAGGCTCACGCGCGACGTGTCCGCCACCCGGCACCTGAACGGGCACCCGCGCACGGTCTCCCCGTTAAACTGGAGGAGGAGGAGGGGCGATAAGTTTGGTAAAACGGGCACCCGCGCACGGTCTCCCCGTTAAACTGGTGGAGGGAAGGGGTCATATGGTAATAACATGGGGCGTTGAATTATACTTAACGCACAATAATAATAATAATAATAAAAATAATAATAATAATGATAATAATAATAATAACAGAAATATGGCCATAATGGCTGACCTTGATGTCGATGGTGTGAGTCTTGGCGGCGTCGGGCGTGAAGGAGACGAGGCAGCGGCCGCCGCCCAGCACCTGCACGTGGTTGGGCACCTCACCATCGTTGATGCTGATCTCCAGCTGCCCCTCCCCCGCCTGCGACGCGTCCACTGTGGGGAGTGACGTGTTAGTGACGTGTTAGTGACGTGTTAGTGACGTGTTATGATCTCCAGCTGCCCCTCCCCCGCCTGCGACGCGTCCACTGTGGGGAGTGACGTGTTAGTGACGTGTTATGATCTCCAGTGCCCCTCCCCCGCCTGCGACGCGTCCACTGTGGGGAGTGACGTGTTAGTGACGTGTTATGATCTCCAGTGCCCCTCCCCCGCCTGCGACGCGTCCACTGTGGGGAGTGACGTGTTAGTGACGTGTTATGATCTCCAGTGCCCCTCCCCCGCCTGCGACGCGTCCACTGTGGGGAGTGACGTGTTAGTGACGTGTTATGATCTCCAGTGCCCCTCCCCCGCCTGCGACGCGTCCACTGTGGGGAGTGACGTGTTAGTGACGTGTTATGATCTCCAGTGCCCCTCCCCCGCCTGCGACGCGTCCACTGTGGGGAGTGACGTGTTAGTGACGTGTTATGATCTCCAGTGCCCCTCCCCCGCCTGCGACGCGTCCACTGTGGGGAGTGACGTGTTAGTGACGTGTTATGATCTCCAGTGCCCCTCCCCCGCCTGCGACGCGTCCACTGTGGGGAGTGACGTGTTAGTGACGTGTTATGATCTCCAGTGCCCCTCCCCCGCCTGCGACGCGTCCACTGTGGGGAGTGACGTGTTAGTGACGTGTTATGATCTCCAGTGCCCCTCCCCCGCCTGCGACGCGTCCACTGTGGGGAGTGACGTGTTAGTGACGTGTTATGATCTCCAGTGCCCCTCCCCCGCCTGCGACGCGTCCACTGTGGGGAGTGACGTGTTAGTGACGTGTTATGATCTCCAGTGCCCCTCCCCCGCCTGCGACGCGTCCACTGTGGGGAGTGACGTGTTAGTGACGTGTTATGATCTCCAGTGCCCCTCCCCCGCCTGCGACGCGTCCACTGTGGGGAGTGACGTGTTAGTGACGTGTTATGATCTCCAGTGCCCCTCCCCCGCCTGCGACGCGTCCACTGTGGGGAGTGACGTGTTAGTGACGTGTTATGATCTCCAGTGCCCCTCCCCCGCCTGCGACGCGTCCACTGTGGGGAGTGACGTGTTAGTGACGTGTTATGATCTCCAGTGCCCCTCCCCCGCCTGCGACGCGTCCACTGTGGGGAGTGACGTGTTAGTGACGTGTTATGATCTCCAGTGCCCCTCCCCCGCCTGCGACGCGTCCACTGTGGGGAGTCACGTGTTAGTGACGTGTTGGTGACGTGTTAGTGACGTGTTATGATCTCCAGCTGCCCCTCCCCCGCCAGCGACGCGTCCACTGTGGGGAGTGACGTGTTAGTGACGTGTTATGATCTCCAGCTGTACATATCTCGCGTGTTGGTATGATGTGTTAGTGATAGGCAACTATGGTCAGGGTGGCCCAGTGGTTAAAGTTCAGAGTACCAAGATTGGCGCAGAGAGGCGCGGGTTCGATCCCAGCTCTGTGCGCCAGTTTCTGGTCAGAATCGGCGAGGAGGCCGGGCGGTTAAGCACAACAGAATTAGAGCAGTGAGTTGCAAGTTCGAGACCCGCAATAAGCTGTGAATGTTCTGCGATGTCATGAATCGGCGACAGGCCTACGGCCTAATAAACGCTGAAACTTCCATATTTTATATAGATTATATTATAAGGTAACTAGCAAGACTCACCCCTGAACTGACAGGGTTGTCCCACGACGCCATTAGGCACATCTGAGACCCTTATCAGGCCTGCATCGTAGGCCTTAGCGATGAAGGGAGACCCCGCCACCTTCTGCCCACCAGCCGCCACCTCCACCACATACGAGCCCACCTCGGTGGTGGTGAACGCCACCTGCACCACACCACCCGCGCCCTCCGTCACTTGGTGGGCTACGGGGCGCTTAGTGGGGCCTGAGGGAGGAAAATTGTGACGGGAAACCTTGGGGAACATTTGACAATGAAAGTTTTTTATAAAATTATAAATTATACAATTAAATACATTTATCCTGAATTATACAATAATTCAGGATAAATGCAGGATACAAATGCCTCGGTATTGTATGCATTAAACCTCCACAATTATTTTACATAAATATTTTATACAACATTTTATAAAATGTTTTATTTGTACCCAACATGCACAACTCGATTACGCGCAATGCAGGTCAGGTACGCACAATTTCGGTCACGCACGCACAATTTCGGTCACGTACGCGCAATTTCGGTCACGTGCACTAAACTTCGGTCACGTACGCACAATTTCGGTCACGCACGCACAATTTCGGTCACGCACAACGGCGCACGAGCAGCTGTTAAGGAGCTCACTGACTTACACGCGCAGCTGTTACCGAGTTTACTGGCTTTCCGTGACCTTGTTAACTGGAGCTTTAAAATAGTGAACGTAATATTTTGCGAGATATGGACAGATAATAAATTGTTTTGGAAATGCAATTATGAAAACTATATACAACTATAAAAGAATTATACTGATCTAAAGCCACAAAAAACTAACTAGTTTTGTAAACATTTTCAAAGAAAGCAACGTCACTGGCCTTGCACCTAACCCGATGAAAAAGCTTACATCAGATGTAAGTTCACAATATTGTAATAAAGCAATAAGTTCGCAGTAATAACGGCAGTGCGGAATGAGTCAGATATAAGCAGACAATTACAAAAAAAACTGCACATTACACCGCAAGTTTTAAGCTACCAAACACAGCTTAACCCTCTACCGCCTAACATGAGTAACCAAGGCAATATTGTCACAAGTCTACTTCCCAAAAAGGATACATTCTAGTGAGCGCAAAATGACTTGCACTGATGGTTGCCGCCACGTACGACAACTTTATAATGTTCTCTGTTGCGTACAAACGTCCTCAGGTTGCTACACTCAATAGTTTACGTATAATTTAAGTTGAAAGTTATGTTCCCGGAGAGTGACATACGGCGNGGGTAATAAGTACATCAGGTCAGTGTACAGGTAATAAGTACATCAGGTCAGTGTACAGGTAATAAGTACATCAGGTCAGTGTACAGGTAATAAGTACATCAGGTCAGTGTACAGGTAATAAGTACATCAGGTCAGTGTACAGGTAATAAGTACATCAGGTCAGTGTACAGGTAATAAGTACATCAGGTCAGTGTACAGGTAATAAGTACATCAGGTCAGTGTACAGGTAATAAGTACATCAGGTCAGTGTACAGGTAATAAGTACATCAGGTCAGTGTACAGGTAATAAGTACATCAGGTCAGTGTACAGGTAATAAGTACATCAGGTCAGTGTACAGGTAATAAGTACATCAGGTCAGTGTACAGGTAATAAGTACATCAGGTCAGTGTACAGGTAATAAGTACATCAGGTCAGTGTACAGGTAATAAGTACATCAGGTCAGTGTACAGGTAATAAGTACATCAGGTCAGTGTACAGGTAATAAGTACATCAGGTCAGTGTACAGGTAATAAGTACATCAGGTCAGTGTACAGGTAATAAGTACATCAGGTCAGTGTACAGGTAATAAGTACATCAGGTCAGTGTACAGGTAATAAGTACATCAGGTCAGTGTACAGGTAATAAGTACATCAGGTCAGTGTACAGGTAATAAGTACATCAGGTCAGTGTACAGGTAATAAGTACATCAGGTCAGTGTACGGGTAATAAGTACATCAGGTCAGTGTACGGGTAATAAGTACATCAGGTCAGTGTACAGGTAATAAGTACATCAGGTCAGTGTACAGGTAATAAGTACATCAGGTCAGTGTACGGGTAATAAGTACATCAGGTCAGTGTACGGGTAATAAGTACATCAGGTCAGTGTACAGGTAATAAGTACATCAGGTCAGTGTACAGGTAATAAGTACATCAGGTCAGTGTACAGGTAATAAGTACATCAGGTCAGTGTACAGGTAATAAGTACATCAGGTCAGTGTACAGGTAATAAGTACATCAGGTCAGTGTACGGGTAATAAGTACATCAGGTCAGTGTACAGGTAATAAGTACAATTATCCTTCACAAGAACTCTGAAGTGAAACTTTTACGTCACCAAACACGAGTCTAACAAATAAATACGTCGAACGAAATACGTTTACGTTGAGGTTTCTTCAGCGTCTATTGTATAGCGGTGAACCTCAAGCTGGAACTGTTTGGTGGTGGTGATGGTGGTGGTGGTGGCGGTTTTCAGGACGCCCAAAAAACTGCCGCGCGGCACGTAAAATGACGTAAAAGAGTCGTAACGTAGCCAACATACCGAAACTAAGCCTTAATCCACTCAAGGATGCTAGCAGCAACTTGTAGAGCACCTCTCCGTACGAAGTTAGGAGGGTGACTGAGCCCAGATGCCAGAATGGAGCTTGCGTCGCAGAGATCGGTACGACAACCTCACTCGTCCTGATCCATATCATCACTGATCAGTAATCAATCAAGGATCATCACTCTCGTGTTCATATTGCACTAAGCACTTTTGTTAAATGTTAACAATTAGATTGGGGTTATTTCATCAAGCGGTAAACTTGCGGTTCCAAAAATGGCGGGAAAGCTCTAATCGCGCCGCTCTGGAGATAATCTATATAATCCACTCCTACGCTGGAGGAAGTTCAAACTTCAGAGGTGGAACTTAATGCAGTAAATTTGCAGTAAGTCAGAAAATACCAGAAAAATACCAGATTTAGGCATATATACCAGATCTAAAATATTCATACCAGACACCTTCTGAAAATACCAGATTTGTGAAATCTGGTATAGAAATATACCATCTGGCAACGCTGTGCCAGATACACCAAGAATCCAAGATATGTGGTCTTGACGAGTGAATTAGCTCCTATTTAAATAGTGAAGGAACTCCACCTCCCGCCCCCAAATAAAGGCGGGCCATCTGCGTCAATATTGCCGTACATAGATGGCAGTAGTATCGTTGGAAAGCTCAGAATGTCAGCTTTAAGATGAGACTAAGCATGTAACTGCAGCACAACTCAAGTAGAAACTATATTCAAAGATTTCAGCAGCTAATTACTTTATATTCAATTAGTTAAAGAACTCTCTCACCCGCTTCCCTTTAAAGAGACGTCATGAACGTAAATATTCACGTAGAGAGATGGCAGTGGTACCATTGGAAAGAGCAGAATTTCAGCTTTCAGATGAGCCCAAAAACCGAAAAACGCCAAAATTGAAAATTTTAGCTAGGTCGATCCCCTTAATGTCTTGCCAAAAGCGCTGAGAGGAGGGGAGTTTACCCTTGCAACATTCAAGAGACGACTGGACAATTGGTTGAGAAAGTATTGTATTGTAAAGTATTGTCCAGTAATCTGTGACAAGGGATTGTCCAGTTGCTTGTCAGCAGGTGACAAGCAACAGCATCTTGCACCAGCTGGCCCAAAGGAGGGCAAATATACGGAACACGTCCAATGTTACATCCGGGACCCGAGAGCGGGGTAACTTGCCTAGCGAAGACTCGGAGACGGAGGACGACGAAGGCGGCGCATCAGCGTGACCGGTGACAAGGAAGTCCCAAACTCATCATAAGGTCATAAGGTCACCAGCAGCAGCACCAGCAGCAGCAGCAGCAGCAGCAGCAGCATGCACCAGCAGCACCGGCAGCAGCACTAGCAGCACCAGCAGCACCAGCAGCAGCAGCAGCAGCAGCATGCACCAGTAGCACCAGCAGGAGCAGCAGCAGCAGCAGCAGCACTAACGGCACCACAAGTCCCGTTCCTATTAGGTCACGCGGTCTGCAGCGATGAGGTGCGGCAACGACAGCCTTCGTGCCAGACTGTCTGCATCACTGCCAGACTGTCTGTACCACTTCCAGACTGTCTGCACCACTGCCAGACTGTCTGTACCACTGCCAGACTGCCTGTACCACTGCCAGACATTCATCTCACACGATGAATGCAGCTGCGAACATTCATCTCTAAGAATGAATGTCATCCCACTGCACGACGTAACCTCCATTCAACATCCCCCGACGCCACGACTGCAGTTCCCAACAACGGCCGGACCTCAACAAGTCAAAGGCAAGCCACGAATTTACAAATTAAAAATAAAAACATAAGAAATTAACGGCGCTTAGAAAACAAACCGCTGCTTCGTACGAGCGTGAGAACTTTGCGACCTGAGAGCTGTACAGTGCCTGGAGCTGTACAGTGCCTGGAGCTGTGCAGTGCCTGGAGCTGTGCAGTGCCTGGAGCTGTACAGTGCCTGGAGCTGT